CCACCGCCTCCGCTTCCTCTCCTGCCGCCTCCGCCGCCGCCTCTTCCTCCACCGCCTCCGCTTCCTCCCCGGCGGCCCTGCCCTCCGCCTACGCCCCGCTCAATGCCTCGCCCCGCCGCCGGGTCCCCCTCAGCCCCCTGACCCTCCCCATGGGCGGCGACGCCAGAAGGCAGCACCCCAAACAGTTCTCACCAACAATGTCACCCACCTTGTCCTCCATCACGCAGGTACGCACGGCGTGGGGGGGGCCGCGGCGGGGAAATTTGGGGCGCCCCCCTCTTGGGCGCCCGCTTTGGGCCTCCGCTCCCCCCCTTTTCTTCTGCCTCTTTCTGTCTTTCGTTCCTCCTCGTTCATCGTTAAGTGTTTTTTATTTTCCATTTCCACGTCATTTCAGCTTTTAGGAGGGGGGGAACTCCGACCTTCCCGTTATCCCTGGGGGGGTAGGATCTGAGGGTCCGAGAGGGAGGGGTCGGCTCACCCACAGGGGGGGCATTTGGTCTTAAACTCCCTTTCCTCCTCCTGAGCGCCTTTAGGGCAGAAGACCTGGTGGACACACACACACACACACACCCGTTTGCCATCAACTCCTCTGCCGATTTGGATCCAGCTCTGGCTCCCTCCTGCCCCCCCCCCGGATCTCCTTGATGGGAGGTCTTTGTAATTTTTTTGGCCAAGAAATCCCAATTTTTTATTCCCGCCGGGCAAGGAAATGAGCCTCTCTTCTCCTCTTTCCCCAAACCTCGCTCTTCTCCTTGCATCCACTAGATGGTGCTCTTGTGCTGTGTCTCTTCCTCCCTTGAGTCCCTTTTTCCGCTTGGGGGCGCCCCCTGGTGGCAAAAGAAAAGTTGGGTCGCATTCTGGGCGGGCTGTACCATCCCGGACCGGGGTGTGTGTGTGTGTACGCGGGTGGGGGTGGGTGGAGATGAAATCATTTAGATTGCTTCTCTCCGGCCTCTCGCAGCCAAGGATGGTGCACCCCATTTAACACACACTCTGGGCTTTCTATTGATGCTAGCCCCAGATTTGGGGAACTCCCTGGTGGGCCACCGGATCCCACTGGACTCGAGCTCCCATCATCCCCAACCACCCGTGCAGGGGCTCATGGCCCTCAGAGTCCAGCAGCATCTGCCCGTCGGCCACAGCTTGGGCTTCTTAGGTGGGTGGGTTGAGTCGGGGGGGGAGGAATGAGAACACTGGGCCTTCCCTCCTTCGCTCCGGTTTTCGGTCCGAAGCAGCCGCCTCTCCTGACTTGGTCCCTGCTGTGCCTTTTCCTTTCCCGCCCTCTAGGGGGTGCCGCTGGACACCAGCAAACTCCCGGCCGACCAAAGGCTGCCGCCGTACCCGTACGGCCAGCCCAGCCTCCTCTTGCCGCTCGGCCAGAAGCCTCACCCGCAGGGCCAGGGGATGGCGATGGCCCCCCAGCAAGGGCGCCCCCCGACACAGCACCATCACCACCACCACCAGCCGCAGCCGCCGCCCACGCCGTCCCAGTGTCCTTACCCCGGCGGGCACTACCAGCCCAATTCAATGCTCCAGCACCACCAGTACGGCCAGCCTCTGGGTGACTTCGGCCTGGGCAGCGTGAGTACCGAGCACCCCCCCCCCGAGGGGGCTTTGCTGGGCCGCCTTCTGTGCTTCCTCAAAGGGGATGGGAGCTGCATTGGCGTGGCATCCAAGCCTTCGTGGGGGCGTCCTTTTCCTCCTCCGCCGCCCCCCGGTGTTTGGAGGCTGGGCGATCCGGCGGGCACTACCAGCCCAATTCAATGCTCCAGCACCACCAGTACGGCCAGCCTCTGGGTGACTTCGGCCTGGGCAGCGTGAGTACCGAGCCCCCCCCCCCCGAGGGGGCTTTGCTGGGCTGCCTTCTGTGCTTCCTCAAAGGGGACGGGAGCTGCATCCAAGCCTTCGCGGGGGCGTCCTTTTCCTCCTCCTCCGCCCCCCGGTGTTTGGAGGCTGGGCGATGCCCGGTGGGTTGGACTGAGCACCCGATTTGGGCCGGCCTTTCTGCTCCCCCCCCTCCCCCGGGACTGCCTGGAGAAGGCTGAATGGCTCTTCCGCCCTGTCTGGACAACCTTTCCCTGAGACCCTCTCAGTTAAGAGTTGCTGGATCAGAGACCCTCCTTAACTCCTGAAAATCAGGATGAGTCCAGCCTCTGATTGCCTCGTCCTTCTGGGTACCTCTGCGGTTTAGGCACCTGGTCACTGAGCCAGAGGTGGGGAGTTCAATTCCCCCACTGGGTCGCCTCCTTGAGAGGATCTGGACTGGGTGATCCTCAGGGTCCCTTCCAGCTCTGCTGTTCTAAGATGATGACAACTGATGGATTGATATATATATATTTTTTTGTCTTCCTCTTGACTCGGGGACCCCAGGTGGCCCAATCTGGAGAATTTTTAAATATATATATATGTATTGGAAGCCGCCCAGAGTGGTCGGAAGACCAGACGGGCGGGGTATAAATAAAATAAATAAAATAAAAAATAAACGGCAAGGGGAGGGGAAAAGGGATCTGTAGATGAAAATAGGATCAATGGGATCCTCGTGATCTGTTGTGGCAGGCGCTTCAAATCTGTGGATTTAGACCTGTGGGTTTTCACAGAGACAGCGGAAGGGCAAAGCAGAGATCACGTCGGCTGGGGAAAGTAATAGTAAATAATCTTAGAACGGCAGATTTGGAAGGGAATCGGTGGGTCATCCAGTCCAGCCCCTTTCAAGGAGGCCCAGCCGGGGGGGGATTTGAACTCACAACCTCTGGCCCTGCTGCTGCGGCAAGTAATAGTAAATGATCTTAGAACGGCAGATTTGGAAGGGACTCAGTGGGTCATCCAGCCCAGCCCCTTTCAAGGAGGCCCAGCGGGGGTGGGGTGGGATTTGAACTCACAACCTCTGGCCCTGCATGCTCAGTCTAAGCAACTTCTCCCCCCTCCCGCAGCTGGACCAGTACGGCTTCGTTGACAACATGAGTGAAGGGTTCGAATTCAACAGCAACGCCTTCGCGGACGACCTGGGTGCCTTAAACTACCCTCAAGGCAACAATGCCGGCCAGTCGGGAGGCATGGGGGGCCCCGCCAACCCCCACGACCCCCACCTGCTCAACCGCCAGAACCTGAGCAACTGCAGCCGCCACAGCACCATCCCCAACATCATCCTCACAGGTGAGGGGGAGGGAAAGAGGGGGGCAGCAGGGCTGGTGACCAAGGGCAAGGAATCCATCCATCCATTCATTTAAAATGATTCCCAACTGGGTGTTAGAATCATCCAGGAAAGCCTTTCTCTCGGTCTCGCCACCCAGTGGAGACAGGGGAAAGGGCCTTCCCTGTGGCTGCTCCTTTAGACTTTGGAACTCCCTGCCACTGGAGGCCCGGCTCGGCCCTGTCCTCCACTGGCAGGCCAAGACCTTTCTCTTCTTTATATCCCTGAGGTTTATTCCCCCCGCCCCTCTTTTCCCGCTCTTCCAGGGGACTCCCCCCCAGGGATCTCCAGAGAGATCGCCACCGTCTTGGCGGGCATGCCGGGCTTCGAGATGGACACCTCCTCGCTGGGTCTGGACGAAGACTTGAAGATCGAGCCCCTGACTTTGGATGCGTTCAACATGCTGAGCGATCCTTACGCCCCCTTGACCGACACGGCCGTGGAGGATTCCTTCCGCACCGACCGGCTCCAGTGAAGGGGGGGAGCAGAGGCGCCGGCGGCCGGAACGTGCCCACCCATGCCGAGAGGACGCCACTGTCTCGGGTCTCAGCAGGGCAAAGGCCGGCGTTCCGCACGGAGACGCCTCTTTGCTGAAGTCTTGGGGGGGGTGTCCGTCCTTCTCCCTAAGATGCTGCCGTGGCTGAAAACCTCCCCAGGGGTGTTTGGTGGCCGAGCCCGCTCCGGGCAGCCCGGGTTTGGGGCGACCCGGGAGGCATTTGGGAAGAAGGGGGGGGAAATCTCGCTGCCCGCATCCGGCGCCCAGGAGGACCTTCGGGGGCTGTTCGGAAAGATGGACGCTGTCGCAACGGAGGCGTCGCGCTTGAAACCCTCCGCCAGACTAGCGGGAGAGGAAGGAGGACCGAATCTCAAGAGAGCCGCTCTCCGGGAGACGGGTCTCGGTCTTGACGCCAAGCGACGGGTCTTGGTCTTGACGCCGAGCGAAGAATGGGCCCCGCCGCTTCTGCACCCTGCCTTGGTTCCTGTGTCTGTCTGTACACCTTCACCGGATTAGCTAGAGACCCCGCGTGGTGTGCAGAGCCGTACGAAGTTCAGGCGGGGCATGTCGGACGCCAACCCCCCCCCACAGCGTCACCCCCCCAACCGTTTTTTCTTTGCCTAATCACATTCGTTCATTTTTTAAAATTGTACATAATCCCTCTTTTTTTTCGTTACCCACCACACCCACCCTGATCTTGAACTGCCGTGGACAGGGGATGAAGGGGCCGGCGGGCCAAGGAGAGGGGAGGGGGGGCGCGCACGGAGGTTTGTCCTGTAAAAGCACTTGTAACTTTGCATTCGTATCTGTTGCCAGGTCAGGTCTGAGTTCGAGTCAGGGCGGGAGGGGGCGAGCGAGCGGATGGACACCACGGGGGGGGACGGCCGTGGCCCCTCCTTGTTCGCCCCCCTTGCCCTCCCCTGCTAGGGAGGAGATTTTTTAAAAAACCAAGAGTGATTTTATTATTATTTTTTAAATATATGTTAATTATAATAACATGCCATTCCTTTTGTGTGTGCGTGCGAGAGACAGAGGGAGAAATGGGTCTGGCAGGATCAAAATCAAGGATGGGATTTCGAACAATAAACCGCCAGGTTTATCTCGCAACACGGGACAAAGTTAGCCATTCTGCACCTCCGTGCCTGGCGTTTGAGGCGTGCCAGAGGTCTGTGAGCTAGCTCGGGGGGGGGGGAACCCTTTGCCCTCTTCCCTCCTTCAGTCGTCATCATCCTCATCTGCAGAGCTGGAAGGGACTCTTGAGGTCATAAAGCCCAGCCCTTCATGTCAAGGAGGCTCAGCGGGGATTCGAACTCTGAACCTCTGGCTCCGGAGCCGGAGAGACCTCAATCCCTAAGCTATCCCTTAAGCCCGTGGCCAGCTTTGGGAGCGGAGAATTCCAATGTTTATTATATTAAGGAAGCCACAGGGAATTAATCCGGTTCAGGATGCCGGCCAGCTGGCTGCGCGCCTTCTTTTCCTTACTCCATTCCGATTTTCCGTTCCCGAATGTCGGTCCATATTCTGCACTCAGTTGATTTTCAGATGGGTTTTGGCGGTGTTGGGCGTGGGACGGGGGTTTACCCCAGCAAGGTTTATTTTTCTAAAGCTGCTTGTGGGTTGTTTCGTGGATAAACCTTGCATAAACTTCTTCCTCACCTGTTTGAGAAATACCTGCTCTCTGCCGCAGGGGTGAGGAGTTTTTGGCTACCTGATCACACACACACACTCTTTGGGCAAGGAGTTCAGACTGTTGAGTGTGTTTGCAAGTGTGTGTTGTGGGACCCTGTGACAACCCGTGTTGGGGTCAGCAGAAGGCTGCTGCATGGGACTTTGTGTGTGTGTGTGTGTTACAGCTACAAAATGCCGTTTTCTGTCCCAAAGGCATGAATTTGCTAAAATTCTGGGTGGTTTTTTTTTTTAAGCCTTGATGCGTTGGGGCAGGGGATGATGGCCAAAAAGGGATGACACCTTTCCACAATCCTAAATCAGACCCTTAGAACCTGCAGCAGGTTCTTTTCCTAACACGCCCTTTTTCGGCTGGGTTGTCCGGCCGTAAAATCTGTCTCCCATCTTTCTGCAAAAGGATTGCAGCACGGAGCTCTTTGTTCCCTTCTGAGGCGCCGGAAACGGAGCCCTCTCTTTTTCCTCTCCTCTTTGGGTGTGTGTGGGTGTAGGAGCAAGCACCTGTTCAGATCAGAGCCCCCTCCGGCTCCCATAAATCAGATCTCAGGCTCAATGTCTTAAGCCTGGTCTCTCAACCTCTCGATCCCTGTCCCGACTTGACCCCACGAAATCCCGTTCGGTGGTGGCGTCATCCGCGTTAAGGAGAAGACCCCTTGAACTCAAAAAGGGCCTTTTCAGAATTCAGTTTCTTAGGCCCTGAGAAGGAGGGGCATCCTTCCGAATCCTGACCCAGCCCTAAATGTGCGACCCTGGAACCTAATTTCCCCCGCCCGCAGCTTTGTAAGTGAGTAAGGGTGTCCTTATGTCAGTGGGTAAGGGGTGCAAGCCAGACTTGCAGATACACATATAAAATCTGGAGGTCTTACAGCAGTGGGGTGGGCAACCGCAGACATCGCACAGAATCTGGCCCTTGCCGGGGTGGGAAGCAGCACTTTGCGCCTTCCTATATAGCTTCCTTCTCCGTCCGACAGTGTGGTGGTTTCCTCCTTTTTAAAGTGGATTCTTTTCTCCGGCGGTAATCTCTTTCCCCTGAAAGGTGCTGGTATCGGGGTGGGGAGTGGGTCCTACCATCCCCTGAGAAATCTGAAAGTGAATTTAGCTCCGTTTTGGAAGGGGTTCCCTCCCTTTGGCTTAAAACTTGAAAAAGCAAAGACACACACCCCTCCGGAGGTCTGTGTTAATCCCTCGGCCCTCCACAATGGCCCAGGCTGAAATGCTTTGGAGATGCAGTGGTGTTACATGGTCTCGGTTCCCTGCCGGAAAACAATGAACTTCCTGGTGTGTATGTGTGTGTTTGTTTTGCAGATTGATCGAACAGGAAACAAGGGCAGACATGGGGTTACCAGATTTTTTTTTCTGTCTCAAAAAGAAGCCAGACCATGCCAAGCAACTGTTAACAAAACTTTTTTTTAATTCAATGTGAAACAGTCAACGAAAAGCATTCTTATAATATTTCGGGAAGAGAGAAAAACGCCCCCCTTTACCCTGCCTCGGGGCGGAAGGCCTACTGCTTAAGCGCTTCATTGTAAATCATGGCTATAGCAGCCAAAAAAGTACAGTATTCTTGGAAATTCACTTCACTGTCTTTGTCCCGGTCCAGATCGTCCATCAGTCCCTTGATCTCTGCATCGTTCAATTTCTAAAGTGGAAACGAGAGAGGACGAAAAGAACAGCATGTTTGTGTGATCCCAAAGTAGCAAATGGACATGTTCAAACCAGGAGCCAAAAAGGAACTTTAAAGGATAGTGTGGCAAACCACATTTTTGAATATTCTAACTCAAGAGCCAAGCTTGAGATCAAACTAGTTGGGATTCTGATTCCGTATCTGCAAAGGGTGCTCCTTGAAGTGGCAAAAGGCATCTGATTGTAAATGTGATCAAAGTGGAAATGTAGTTTTTCAGAATGTCAACCGTGATCTCCTTTCCGGGTTTGACTGCCAAGACGACATAGAACTAAACCACTTATCCTGTTGGCAGGAGATCAATGCCAGAGCAAGAAATCTGCTTTTCTCTAAACATTGGGTTTAACCCTAGGGTGCTCAAGGGCAACCCTGGGGAGCTGAGAAGGCCATCTTTCTCTGCTCTCATTTAAGATATTTTGTATTAATGCCATGATGGCAGCCCATATTTTTCACACAGAGGAGAAGCATCAGGAAAGCTGACTGCCCTTTGAAGCTTTCTTTTGATTTTTTTCCATGGAGTTTGTCAGAATGGTGTTTATTTCAAACCCTGTCTTTGCAACTTAGCCCACTGTTGTGCACAATGTACTTAATTTTTTTTAAAAAAATCATAAAACAAAACAATCATCCTTTAAACTCACGGGTCCAATGGTCATTTCGTTCTGGATCAGTTCTTTCAACTCCTTCTTACTCAGGGTATTTTTATTCCCTTCTTTGCAGGCATATTTGTGGAAGATGGTAATCAGAAGACCAATGCCTTGATCAAGTGGAGCTGCCATCTTTTGAGGACAAAGGGCTAAGAGACCTGAAAAAAAAATGTTATAAGAGCAATCAAGCCAAAATAAAATGAAGAGGTTGACGCAGGAGATGAGAAAATCTGGCTTTCTGAGTTGTCCAGAGCTCTGCAAACTTTACCTGTGTTTTTTGAATTTGATCTCTGGCTCCACCTAATGGCCGGTTTTGGTAATTATACCATGGAAATATCTAGTGAACACTATACATGGCATGCTCTCTGGCTCCATCTAGTGGTTGGTTTTAGTAGTGACATCATGGAAATCATTTATCTAGCAAACATACATAGCATGATCAGTGGCTCCCTCTCCTGCCAAGTTCTGGTAACTTGATCTTTAGACATATTGGGGGATTTAAAAAGATATTTTCAGAATGTAAGTGAATCAGCGGATACTGATCCCGTGATACATGGCATGCTCTCTGGCTCCATCTAGTGGTTGGTTTTAGTAGTGACATCATGGAAATCATTTATCTAGCAAACATACATAGCATGATCAGTGGCTCCCTCTCCTGCCAAGTTCTGGTAACTTGATCTTTAGACATATTGGGGGATTTAAAAAGATATTTTCAGAATGTAAGTGAATCAGCGGATACTGATCCCGTGGATAACGCGGCTGATCTTTAGACATATATTGGGGGATTTTAAAAATATTTTCAGAATGTGAATCAATCAGCGGATACTGATCCCGTGGATAACGCGGTCCTACTGTGTTCCACATTTTAATTTGGGAACACGGTGACCAGGTGAAATCTGGCACTCTGAACTTTCACAAATTAACCCTCCCGCAGCTGGATTGTTTCCTTGCTTTCATACTGGGGTAGAATTGAGCAGTGAGGTCCGTCTTTAAAAACAGGCCTGGGTGGTGTGGTGTAATGGTTAGAGCAGAGGAAGAAGACACGGTCCTACTGTGTTCCACGTTTTAATTTGGGAACACGGTGACCAGGTGAAATCTGGCACTCTGAACTTTCACAAATTAACCCTCCCGCAGCTGGATTGTTTCCTTGCTTTCATACTGGGGTAGAATTGAGCAGTGAGGTCCGTCTTTAAAAACAGGCCTGGGTGGTGTGGTGTAATGGTTAGAGCAGAGGAAGAAGAATGTATATTTGGGGCCTGATGTGCCCCTCCCGACCTGTTTTTGCAGCCTTTTAATTATTCAGTGTGCAGAAAAGATCAGAAAAACAACCCAAAGTCTCGGGACTGACTCCTTTTAAGATTTTAATTTGGCACTGCGTTTAGCACAGAGGAGGGCCAGCTTCCTCGGAAGCAACAAGGTGACTGTAGTTTCCAAATTGAAAAGACAGAGAATTGCACTCTTGGCAGCTTCAAATCGCTTTGGGTTGGGCCGTCGGAGCTCTGGGTTCGAGTTCCCGGTGAGACCCGAAATGCACCAGGGGAGCTCGGTCTCGTCCTCCTCGCAGCCTGCCCTAACCCCACAGGGTTGTCGTTCTGGGTGCGAAGGGAGGAGAACCACGCACAGAAAGTTAGGAGATGCGCTGGACTAATTAAAAGTAAGTAATTTGTCTTTTTAAGCCCCAACTTTGGGGCGGCGAGTATAAAGAGGCTCTGGATTTCCAGGTAGGAACAGCACCTGTTATCTTTCCTGCCCCAGGGATTGTGTTCCAATCTTTTTTACTCTGGTGGGTCATATATAGGGTGGGGCTCTTTTATCCTGAGCCTTCGCTGGATCATAAAAGGACTTTTCCCAGCAGGCAGGAAACGTTTCAAGTCACTCTCAAACCTATAATTTTTTTCCCAATCGTTCCAAGCCTGTAATTTTTTTTTTTCCGGGGGTGTGGGCTCGGATTTCTGCTCGAAATGCAACACGCCAGAAACGGCGATGGGGAGCGAAGACAGAACGCTGTCGCTCTGTAGGAAAAAGAGGCGCTGGAGTGGCTGCCCTGGGGATAATGGGAGTTGGAATTCTTTCAGCTGTGTTTCAGGCAGATCGCCTCTCCGTCTCTGCCTGCCCTCGGGGCCTCCTCGTCCAGCAAATGTGCTGATTTGGTTGAAAAGAACGGACAGATTCACCAGTGTGTGTGTTTTGCATTTCTGTTGTTTGATCTCTCTGGAGAGACACCTTTGGTAAACATGGTTGTCCTAGAAAATAATCCCATTAAAAACAACCCAGATTTGGGGGTGAATGAGTGAGACCCCCCCTCGCTCATTCATGCCAACGCCTTGATGGCTATAGAGGCCCCTGACGCCTCCCTTCTTCTAGCGTTCTGTCCTCGGGTGGAATATGAGATTTATTCTATTTTCCCCAATGTTTTTGCCTCCGAGTCCTGACCTCTGGCAAGCAGCCATTCAGCAACAACCTGGGCTTCCGATTTGGAGCCACTCCCAAGGACCTCCAGCTCCCATCGTCCTTGGCCGGGGATGATGGGAGCTGGAGTCTGCAGACATCTGGAAGGCCCTGTGCTGCTACCCTAAATTATTATTATTATTATTTTGAAATCTTAACGGCGGTGTCTTGGCCATTTTGTAAATTTCCAAGCTAGGGTTATAGCCTCCCGTATACGCTCCTTGAGCGAAACCCTGCCTTGGTGGCAACAGGGATTTGCTCTAGAGTATACCCTTTTGGAGTCAAGGTGTGTGCTCCGGAGCCGAAGGACGAGAAGGGGGTTAAAGAAGGGAAGCGTTAGGATCTGGGGTTCGTTCTGAAGTCGGAGCGACGAGGCCTTCCTTGAAAACAGTGGCGTTTCTGTTCAGGGTGCCAACCTGCCGTGCCCCATTTCCGGAAGAGGGTAGGCAGTCGTCCTGCTCCCAGTTTTCCCTTCGTCCTCGGAAACCTCTCCTGGCCACGGCATCCTAGATTTACTGAATTGTCCCACCAGATGGCATGAGGGTGTTGGAGACGCCACGGAAACCCTCTCTGGAAAAACGACAAAACAGATCCTGGACATTCAAACCAGGAGGGCCCCGTTGTGGGGGAGAGCACCAGACGCCCAACTTGGGAGAATAATCTCTTTTTTTCTTTATGGTTGGGGGACTCCAACTCCCATTCTCCTCCACCTGTGCCGTCCGGTGGATGCTGGGTATTGACACTCCCCCTTGTTCTGCTTCCTGCATCATTGGTGATGCAGGAAGCATCTCTCCGGTCCAGAGGACCGAGAGATGTTCCAGGTAGGGGCCCTGACAAGGCCTTCCCACACCTGGGCACCGGGTGCGAAAAAGGTCTACACCGCTGGCAGGAAAGCAACGGACCCCGTTTTTATCTCTTTCAGTCCCTATTTTTTTATCTTAGAGGTCTGCAACAGAGAGACGGTCAAGGCTCAGAGGCCCAGTCAGGTCTGAACTGGAAACACACCCCTCCGCCATCACGCCTGGGGCAGAATGCACTCTGCACATGCTCAGGGGCACCGCGTGGTTTGCAGTTGATCCCAAATTGCACAGAGCTAGATGGGACACACATACACGGTCTTATCTGGGGGGGGTGCCCTCCTGGGAACAAGACCCTCTTGAGCTCCATGGAAATCACAGCCAGATGGGACATCTTTATTAGTTATTTAATTTAAAATACTTTCACCCTGCCTTTCTCTTTTAAAAACAGGACCTAATTTGGCTTACAGCGTTAAAAGCCGTATAGGGCGCACCCTCCTGGGAACAGACCCTCTTGAGCTCCATGGAAATCACGGCCAGAAGGGACATCTTTATTAGTTAGTTATTTAATTTAAAATATTTTCACCCTGCCTTTCTCTTTTAAATTTGGCTTACAGCGTTAAAAGCCGTATAGCAAGGATTGTAGGGTTTAGGTTTCAGCCTTACACCGTCTCAGGGGGGAGAGTCTTACTCAAGAGTTTTGCTTCTGCGTAGTCCAGGGAAGGGAAACGTGGCCTTTAGGACCACAAATCCCATAATCCACTGGCTGGTGGATTATGGGATTTGTTGTAGTAACGTAGTACAGTTGTAGTAAAGGGGGGTGAGAAAAGTAAGATCTATCTCTAAAAGCGTTGTCTTAGGGTTAAATCCCTACTGGAATCAAAGAGACCTCCTTCTGGGCAGGCAGATAATTGGATTATTAACTTTATTTTTTTTTTTTAAAAAAAACTGACCCTCAACGAGGTACAAACAGGAGTCATCAAGCGCTGATTTACTCCGGAGGAAACCCATCCGTGGCACATTCACGGTGGGAGGAAAAAAGTCAAAAGCAAAAGGTGTTTTTTTTTTTAAGTTAAAAAAAATTTTGGTGGGGGAAAAGTCAATAGCAAAAGAGTTTTTTTTAAAGTTATTATTTTTTAATTTAAAAAGAGGTTTATATATTTTTTTTAAAAAAATCAACGGCTCACGTCTACTCAGGAGTAAGTCGCACCGAGCCCAACAAAGCGCACTCGCGTTCCTCGGGCGCAAGTTTGAAGTCTTAGGGCTTTTTTTTTTAAAGGGGGTGAAATCTTTCCTGCGGGAGTAGGGGGAGAAAACCACCACCACCCCCCAAAAAAACGCCCCAAAGGTGTCCCCCGATACTTCGAGGGATGCAAATAATAGAGGTTGGGGAATAAAATAAATAAATTTGTGGGTGGATCCGATCCGAAAGCAAGCGGCCGCCGCCTACGATGGGGGGAAAAATAAAAGTTTCAAAGAAGTTGGGGGGGAAAAAAGGAATGAGATAGAATAAGCGGGAGACTTACCCAAGGAAGACCTAGCGATTTGGAAAATCCGTCAGCCGGGAAAAGAGGATCGAGCCCAGAACAGCCCCCAAATCCAGATTTATATAGGGAGGGGGTGGAGGGCTGGTCCCTCTCCGATCCCCAGGCGGTTGGATGATGTGCTGAAGCCGCTCCGCCTAAGCCAAACCCCCACCTTTATTTTCCTGCTTTTAACTCTTCTGTCTCAGTTGAGGTCCCTAAAACAGCCTTCCTTTCCCTGCCTCTTGAGGGACAGAAACTTGATGCTCTTCCTTCCTTTCATTATCATCTCTCCTCTCCTCCCTCCAGGTTTCCAGCCTTCCTTGGCTCCTCCGTGCCTCCGTTTTTTTCCTCCTTTCTTTAAGAGAAAGGGGAACTTCTCCCTCCGAAATCCATATAAAATTTTATTATTTTTTTTATTTGATTTAAACTCACCCACCCGCCTGCCCATCTGGCCTAGAAGACCACTCTAGGCGCCTTCCGATAGAATAAAACAACAAAATAATACGAAATATTTCATGAAGCCTACTATAACAAATACAGTACACAATGCAAAGATAGAATAGGAAGTAAGTAAAGGAAAAATAAAATCAGATATTAGCTGGAGGGAAGGCCTGAATGTACAGCCATGTTTTTAATTGACTTGATCTCCTCCCTCCTTCTCTCTTTACAGGGGTCCCCTCCGACTTTTGGGTCGGTCTCCCCCTAAGCTAGAGAAAGGCAGGTCCTCGTCTGGACCCAGTTATTTCCCCCTCCCCTGTCCGTTTTAAGGGATTTATCCCCTGCTGGATCTCCCAAACAGTTTTTAAGTTGTACAGGGGTGTTTCTAGTCCTTAACATTTGAATTTTGGCCATCCCTTGGAAACACTTCCCTCTGGCCTTACAGCAGAGGAAATGTCTTCTTTCCCCCTTTCTCTGCCTTGTTTAAGGCCACCATCTGTGCCAAAACCCGCCGCACCAGTTCTGGTGAAAGAAAGAAAGAAAAGAGGAAAAAAATGTTAATTTTCTGGAGTATTCCTGTTTCCTCCAGAACAGGCCGACCATCCAACCATATTCTATACCGAAAATGCGGTCCACTCGACTACGGGATCAGCGACCATTTGGGAAAGGTCGCCTTTTCAGACTGCGTTTCCCGAACCTCTGACACGCCATCGTATTTTCAGCCCGCGGGCGTGTGCATTGTCGTACAGGGTCCACAAAGTCTGGCATTGAGGGAGGGGGGCTTATATATCCTTCTGGCTTTTGCTAATTTTGTGGTTAATGACGACTTTTGCCTTCCGATGGGGCCTTTCCTCAGAGGACGGGGGCCCAGGCTTCCCGACATGAGCTTCCAGAGAGACAGCGGAGTGGAGTGGTTACAGCTTTTCAGTACGACTGAAAGAAAGTAAATTTCTCATCGTCACGAGACTCTGCCGGATGAGTTTCGGCTTCGTCTCTCTTATCCCCTCCGTCCGCCTGACGTACTACCTCGCAGGGTTCTTGGGAAGATAAAGCGGAATATAAGTGTAACAAAACAGACAGATCCCGGCACACGATCTGGGTCATTGTAGGCAGGCACACATACCAGAACAGTGTTTCCCCGGGAGGATAAATACCGATCCCATGAAATTCAGTACATGCTAGCCTAGATCCTATATGGGTCACCCTTTGATCGCCGCCTCTCAGGCCAAGCTTTTGTTGATCCACCCACAGCAGGGCTGAAACTAAACATTTGGGAGCTCAGCCCAGTTTGGTAATCTTGGGTCACCCGAGATCACCAGGAAGAGGACAGAGGGTTGGGGGGACAGAGGACTCGTGGCCTCCCCGTTTCCTCCCGTCTGAGTTTCCCCACTGTCCCGGATCGGCCCCACACGGAGAGCCCGTGTTGTATGTATTTCTGCCTGGAACGTTTGCACCCTCTGGATTTCACACACACAAAGAGAGTCAACTCAGAAACTGGAGAGAAAACTTTATTCTCAAGGTACAAAAAAGAATCTGGCCTTATTTTGCATCCTGCTGGAAAAAATCATTGTAGGTCATGCAGAGGGCAGAAAGGAATCCTGTGTACTCCTTGAAGTCTATCTCCTCATCCTTATTCTTGTCCAGCGTCTCCATCAGCTGGTTGATTCCCCCGGCCTTCATCTTCTGCAGGGGGGGGGGAAATGAAGAAAGACCACACTAAGAACCCACATACGAACACTCTGAACCCTAAAGTGGGATGGGCGGATAGTCTGGAGACCTTTCACCCCTTTTGCCTTTTCTGGATCTACGTGTAGATTGGGCTTCCTTCCTCTTCTTTCTTGAAATGGTGCACTTCTTTAATAGCAACCGCAGAAGCAGCAACAATAATAGTTGCGGATCTCAGAAATAACACCATTAGCTACCAAAAAGGGCAGGATGAGGAACAGCAGCCATATGGTGCTGATATTTAGGAAATACCTAGGTTTGGGGTTAAAGCTTGCTTCTGTGGTATAATACCAGTCAATGTTTGTAGAATTTTGTTTCATTATGCCTGGTATTTTTTTAAAATAATCATCTCAGAACTGCAGAACTGGAAGGGACTGTATAGATCATCCGGCCTCTCAATTATGCCTGGTATTTTTAAAAAATAATCATCTCAGAACTGCAGAACTAGAAGGGACTGTATAGATCATCCGGCCTCTCAATGTGGCCCGGCTGGGATTCAAACTCCCAACCTATATATAAAAATAAATGAATGGATAAATAAGTTTAGGGCTCTTTTCCCCTGCTCTATCCTCATGTTTCCTTAATCACTCAATAGCAGGTGTTCCCCAGCACCCTTTTATGAGTGTAAATAGGAAAGATCCTTCTCGAAAGGAAGTGGGAGAGACAGAGGGAGGGAGGGTTGTGGGAATCTGCTGTTGTGGCCACCGGATCCTCCCTGTGGCCACCGGATCCTGCCCAAAACTTGCCTCTCCCAAAGCCAGCTCATTCTTCACCAGTTCCTTCAATTCTCTCTTGCTGAGAGTAAATTTGTTCCCTTCTCTGCCGGAGTACTTGTGGAAAGTTAACACCAATGTGGCTAGGGCTTTCTCCAAAGGCGTCTCCATGGTGAAGAAGGACCACACAGAATCTGGTGGGAGAAAAACAAAAGAAAAATATTTCCCTTCCTGTTTTTTTATCCCCCTGGAAAAAAAATGGAAATTTTACATCTCTAGACAAAACTTAGATATTATAAAGTCTCAGACGTCTTTCGTTAAGGTTTTCATGTTATCTAGTTTGAATACCGTGCCATAGACTTATTATTTATACTTGTAAAAGAACTTATTCCAAACTCCAATTTCTCCCCCAGATTTTGCAGAACCCTCCCTCCAAACAGCTTTGAAAAAAAACCTGTTTATTTCCCAAATTTTCTGTTTTTTTCCCCCCAGGTTGTCCGATATCTACTTATAATCAGTTGCTCTTCCCTGCTCCCAATCAGGTTTTGGAAGTAAGTGGATGCAAATAGTATTGCTTGTAATTAATGCTTCGTTGCAGAAAGCAAATTAATTACAAATAAGTTCCTTCGAATTACCAATAATTGCAACTAACTAGGGCAAAATTACGTTATATTGCATGCAGTTGTGTTGTAATCTAAGTTGTGGGTTAGTGATGTAAATGCCTTTCTTGTGATCAACAAAGGCAGAATTGGCCACATTATAATTACAGCATAGCATAACAAGTCATGTATTAGTTAGACAGTAATGTTAGGAAAGCCGGAAGGCAGCAGGAAAAGAGGAAGAGCCGAGATGAGAGGGGCGGACTCTCTAAAAGATGCCACGACTTTTGAGTTTGCGAGAGCTGAGCCGGGCTGTGGAGGATGGGACTGAGAGAGGCGGACTCTCTAAAGGATCCACGACTTTTGAGTTTGCAAGAGCTGAGCCGGGCTGTGGAGGATGGGACATTTTGGAAAGCGAGCGCTCATTGGAGGCAACTTAATGGCACATAACATTAGTTGGTGTGTGTGTGTGTGTGGGGGGTTTAAAGTAAACCATTTAAGTAATTAACTAGATGGTAATTAGCTCCAAAGCTTGGATAGATGCTGGGAACCATCATGTGGAGGAGTCAGGAGGGAGGAGAAGATGATATAAAAGCAAGCTTTGCCAGAAAAAGGGGAGAGGGGGAGGGAAAGAGTAGCAAAAAAATAAAATTAAAATCACATTGAAAGGAAGGGAAGATAATGGTGCAATTAAGAAGGGTGGAAATATGATGATAAGAGCCCCATTATTAAGGGTGTGGTGCTCGTGAGAACAGCCGGCTGCCCCTAGGTGAACACACACCTTGAAAACCTTTGAAAAATCCCCAGTATTTGTGATTATAATTTTCTGGACCTCCCGCTTGCACAGTCGGAGACATGTGACTTGTTTCGGACTCCAGGTCCCATTCAACCCCAGGATTCTGGGACTGGTAGTCTGAAGTAATCTTTTCAAGCTATAGGTGAGCGTCCGAGTGAGGGCCCTTGCCAGGGACGGTTGGCCGGCGTCGGCCATCCACCCTGGCCAGCAGAGCCGGCCGCCAGGGTGGATGGGTGTTGTAGTCCAACCACATCCGGAGGGCTGTGTGTGCCCTAGCTCAGAATGATGGGAGAGGTGAGTGGAGTATCCTAGCAGAGGCTGTGGCTAACCCTGGACGGGACTGCCTGGCGCTGCAAAATTCCGTTGCGGCAAAGCCCTTAACAGCACCATGTCCCAGATTAAAAATGAATAAAAATAACCGCAAATTTTTGATGCACCAAAATTTTCCCCCTTTCTCCTCAAGGACCTGAGGCGGCTTGCAGGTTGCTAAATCGTTAAAAGCTAAATCATACATTATTGCAATATTTTTATTTTTAAAAATCCATGAAGCATTCAATAGATCTCAATGATATATGTTATTAGTCTGCATTTTTTGATCGAGAGGATGTTTTAAAATATTGCAATTTTTACGCATGGAGTTTTTGGATCTCAGTTAAGATCCCCGGTGGCCGGCCAGTCTCCTTTTCTCCCCCTGCCCCAAAGGAATCTTGAATCCAAGGTCGAGAAATAAAGGAAGTTTCTGATTGGAGTTTCGAAAAGTTCCTTTCTCTGGACTACAACTCCCAGAATCCACTGGGGGAGGGCACCTTGGGGATGGGAGACGGAAGATTTTTTCCACGCACTGCTTCTGATCATGTCCGCAGATCACGCCTATGTTTTGCACATCAGCTACACTCACCTCTTGGCCCACGTACGTGGCAGAGTAATTAACTTTTTGCAACAGATCTGCTAATGATTCTGGTAGCCTCCAAGGGCAGAGCTGTTCCGTTTGCTAATCAGAATAAACGACAGCTTAATGACGCCCGGCTTCCCATGCATCCTTTCAAAGGCCAGCAGCCTCATGGGGGGGAAACCACACCCTGTAGGCCTGATGAATTCTGTGCATGGTCAGGAGCTATGCATTTGGGATGGAATGCCGGTTTTAAAAGAAAACACACAGTCTGTGAGTGTCGGAGTGGAAAAAATCCAGGTTAAAGTCCTCGGGGAGCGGTGAAAGCCATCCGGCAACCTGGGCCAGCTTCTTTTGCTTGGCGTGGCCTACCTCGCAGGGGTGCTGGGAAGATATGGGGATAAAGAAGGGAAAATGGGCCATCAAGGTACCTTTGCCTATCTCTCTGGGCCTCAGTGCACCTCTTGACGTATGTTGTGATTGTGTTTACCCATATTAACCACCCCATAAGCTGTATGCATGTTTCTCTCTAAGGAAGAGCCCTGTTTTTGGACTACATACCCCAAAATCCCCTAGCTAGTGGGGTTGCCGTTCAATCTCCATCCATGCTGATGGCAGAATCATAGGAACGGTCATGTAAACACATGACTTTACACAAAGGCCACTTGTCCATGGGTATCCCTCCCTTTTAGAAGCAGAATTCCTTATGCAAATGAGTGAGCTCATCTGCATAATATATGCAGGTTGCCTGTTATTGGTCTGCATTTTTTGATCGAGAGGGTCTTTCCAAAGGGCCGCAAGACCGATGTTTTAAAATATTGCAATTTTTACGCATGGATTTTAGGATCTCAGTTAAGATCCCTGGTGGGATCTCCTTTTCTCCCCCCTGCCCCAAAGGAATCTTGAACCTGAGGTCGACACATGGGCCTTTTAGAAGCAGAATCCAAGTTATGCAAATGAGCGAGCTCATCTGCATAATATATGCAGGTTGCAGAACTCACTTTCTGTTGCTGCAGAATAGGGCGTTTCTCCCCCATTTTAAAAATTTCCGGTTGTGTAAAAACAGCTTTGGATGGAGGCAAGTTGAGAAATCATGCTCAGAGAGGAGGATGAAGCATTAAAGGTGGGTTGTTGGCAGGCAGGAGATGCTCACCCTAACATCATCCTTCATCACCTTCAGAGGGTGCCGTTTATACAGGGCGGGGCAGGATGGATGCAGATCAGGTGTGTGGACCGGAAGGCAGTGGGTGACCTACGCCGGGACCTGTTTGCCCAGGCAAGGTAGGAGGATTGATGATTCACCTTTTAAGCTCAAAAATAAATGTAAATTCGATAAGGGATCTGTATAAATAGGCCTGGTGCCCAAACTCTTAGAGGTGGTGCCCTCCACTAACCGTGACCAAGGTGGGGCCGGGATCCCATTCAGAGCAATGGTTCCTGTTCCCATGAGTTCACCCTGGCAAACAGAAGAGGGGTGTGGTCACTCAAGGTTGCCAACACCAGACCCAGAGAGGGCTCCTCTGCTTTTAAAGAACGGAAGAATGAGAAATATCCTGGGGTTTTTTTGTGTGTGTTTTTTTAAACGTTGCATTGGACTCGCCCGTGGGCTGGCGCAGAATTAAACCCTTTCTTTCTTTCTTTCTTTCTTTCTGGAAGGACGAGAAATATCCTGGGGTTTTTTTGTGTTTTGTTTTTTTTAAACGTTGCATTAGACTGGGCTGGTGCAGAATCAAACCCTTTCTTTCTTTCTTTCTTTCTTTCTTTCTTTCTTTCTTTCTTTCTTTCTTTCTTTCTTTCTTTCTTTCTCTCAATAGATGGAGCACAGCTTTTAACCACAATATTTCGTGGAGTTAAAATAGAGAAGACTGTAGAATTCAGGTTGTAAAGTCCATTCGAGTAGGAACCTCTGACGTGATGATGGCGAATGGGCTGTTAACCTCTGAACAGCTTCCCGGGCTGCGCCATAAAATCGTCAGGCCTAACAAAAGAGGCCTGTTTCCAATCACCGTTTTAAACGGGAACGATCCAGGCTTTGGCCACGGTTCAGAGGTTGTCGGGAAATGCGGAGGCTGCTGATAGACGGCCCTTCCCAGCGGCTTGCCCTGTGCTTTCGGGGTAGACTGCTCCTGGCTCTGGAGGCTCGCCTAAGCTGTCATGGGCTCCTCCTTGCTTGTGAGCATGTGGATATGAATAGGAATATGGGAAGGGTCCTAAAATAAACCAGCGCCGGGCTATAAAGCTGGCCGTTCTGATAAAAAAATATCAATAGAATAGAAAAGGAACTCACCGGGTGAAGAGACAAACGATGTGCTTCAGAGACGCAGCAGGAAACCCTCTGGCTGTGTTGTGTGATTTCCTCTCCTATACACTTTAGGGCTCGACCCCCTAGAGATCGGGGTGAGCAGCAGAACTGGTGGTTGCCAGGATCCGTCCTAAGGGAACACCGGCTCTGGTTGCTGGTGGTTCTTGTCTGAAATGAGATTTTGTCTTTTTTTTTTCCTATGAGTTCTGGAGATTTGCACCTTCGCCCAAAGGGTGGGCAAAAGTTTTGCTGGCAAATCAATGGCTGTTTATCCCGTTTTTTTTCCCTTTTGGACTCTCAGTTTGCATCTAAACAGGAGCGGCAGGATGCCCCCCCCCCGTCCCTTTATTTAATCCTGTATTTATTTCAATTTATTTAAACGATGCTGTCCAAAGAAGGAAGCTCGGGGTGTTTTTTTTAAAAAGTAGGGTGGGTCCCATTCAGGCCTGGTGCTCAGAATCGATTTTGGGACTAGGAACTCCATAGCAACAAATATTCAGGATGAATTTTTTTTATTTTTGCTTTTGACAGCTAATGGCATTTTTGCACCCAGTTTGATTTGGTGGGTCTTGGGGTTCAAATGAACACACACACATCCATAAAGCTTGCTACTTACAGTCTTAGTTCCTACTTAGCTACTAGTTAGAAATTAGTTACTACTAGTTCCGAGAATTAGTTACTTGTAATTAAAACCGTGTAGCAAAGTGATGCAGGACTTCACAAAGCAACAAGGGTAACAGCGCCCTTGTAGCAATGTAACTGTAACTCGGTTTAGTTACTTTTAAAGTTTCTCTCTCTCTCTCTCTCTCTCTCTCTCTCTCTCTGTGTGTGTGTGTGTGTGTGTGTAAGGCCTTGCTTTTTTGCTTCCTTCCAGGGCCCAGAGATTTCTAGCATTCCCGTGTGGTTCTTGTTTTTTTAAAAAAACTTTCTGAAAGTATCTCTTTTTTTAAAAAGTGTATTTTGAATAACAAGGAAGAAAAATGTTACCTCGGAACCTTGTAAGTGTAACAGGTTAGACATGTTACTGTATCAACCAATAAATCAATATTATAATTAAGAATATATATTGCTTTGTATAGCTTTGCAAACATCAATGTAACTCGTTGTATTTTTTAAATAAGTTCTGAATAAGGAAAAACCTCACCCCTGTGCTAAACAAAGCATTAATTTTAAACTGTATCCACCTAGTCCTCCTTATCAGATCTCTGTGTCTCCTTCCTGCACACTTCGATTTCTGTTTATTTTACTTTGGATGATCAGCTGTAACAATCTGCCTTTTGCCTTCTCCCTTATGGGAGGAAGGAGACCAGCTTTCTGTGTTTTAAAATTCCTTGGTCGTTGTTCATCTTAGCTGGTCGTCACCTCGATCTGGGAAATTCATACCATACTGCAATATAATTATACATTTTAAATATGTGTTTTTTTTAAAAAAAGCTTGATTTAAGATCTAAGGTTGGAAGATGCTTTGCAGGGTCGCTGAGAATACATTGCACGGCTGAATATGCATTCGTGATGCGCTTTTAAAATTTTCATTACCCGTCGCCCTTCCCTGTTTTAAGGAAGTTGCACGACTCCATCTTGATTCCGATCTTTTTATTGTGTGGCCAGATTTTCTCTGTTCCAGGGTTCGGTGCCGGCAAACTCCAGAAATTCTGTCTGGATCTTTAAACTGCATCTCTCGGCCAGCTTGGTTTTTATGGGTTGTTGTGTGAATGTGGTTTTTCGTCGTGTTTTTTTTAGACCACGATTCTTACTTACTGGGTTGACTTTATCTGAGGACTCGGAGCTGGAAGGGACCCTCGAGATCATCCAGTCCAGCCCTTCCCAAGGAAGCCCAGTGGGGGATTCGAACTCCCAGCCAGATGCTACAGTCAGCTATCTGGGCGGATTCATCAACAATACTATTGTTGTGATCGTGGTTTTTCGTCATGTTCGTTTTTAGACCACACTTCTTACTTACTGGGTTGACTTTATCCGAGGACTCGGAGCTGGAAGGGATTATCATCCAGTCCATCCCTTGCCAAGGAAGCCCAATGGGGGATTCGAACTCCCAACCAGATGCTACAGTGAGCTATCTGGGCGGATTCATCAACAATACTTTTAATGAAGCATCATATAATATATATATATATTTCATTTTACATAGGAAAAAGAAAAGAGAATTGGATTTTGGACCGGTGACTTTTTGAAACTACAAACCCCATCGCCCCCCAGCCCATGCGGTGGAGGCTTTTGGGCACCGTAGTCTCAAAAGTAAAAGGTTCAAAATTTGGAAGGAAAAAAGAGGAACTGCTTCTGGTTTCAGGGGAGAGCCGGATCGGGGAGGGAAGCTGGAGATAAACAGGATGCAGGGGACCGGTGGGGAGCTGTTGCTTAGCAACCAGGTACCCCACCGAGGATGCAGCCATGGCAGGGGACGATGGGGAAGGCCCGTGCAAGGGAGGAGACTCTCGGAGGCTAATTTCCCTTTTTAATGTGAACGTTTTTGGTTCCATCCGCCTCTGAGCTTTCCGGCTGAGGGCCAGGGGAGGCGTCTCCCTCCGGACGAGGCCTGTTTTCTTGTAGGCTGGATAATAAGCCTCTTTGTTTGTACGCAGAGCGAAAACACGGCAACATGGCGGAGGGAGGACGGAGGAGAGAGTGAGCTGGCGAGGCAGTTTGGATGGTCTTCGGATGAGGGACGGTGGCTTGTGATGGAATGGGGGCCTCCCTTAATCCTGGGAGAATGTGCAGAGTAACCCCCTCCCAAAATATAATCTGAGGGTCTCGGGGAGAGAGAAGCAGAGAGGCATCCGTCCCACCGATCCTGGGTTCGAAGGACGCCGCTGAACGCCATATGTTCAGACACCCATTTTGGTGGAGGGATATTCATCTCTCCCGTCCTGCTGCCTCGGAGAAATTTCAGAGCACAGAAAAGGCTGTTTTTTTTTTTTTGAGGGGGGGGGAGATAACAAGACCCAGAATCCCCTAGGCTTTTTAAAAATCTTACTATTGATCGTCAAAGGATCTAAGAGTTGAGTGGACTCCTGTCTAGAAGGGCGGGCTATAAATCCAATCAATCAATCAATCAATCAATCAATCAATCAATCAATCAATCAGAGTTGCCTTTGGACTCAAATGCCCCAAATCCCCACACTGGATACTGGGAACGGTCACCCCCAAGACATTCCTCCTCCACTTGAGTAAAAAAGGTGTGTTTTTTTGGCCCCACGTTCTGATCACGAGAGCGGGAGATGGAACCTCCTCGTTCAAGAGTAGTCCACCTGAGGGTGCCAAAGGAAATACGTGCAGGGTTTTAGCCAGGTGTGAAACAGCTCTGTTTCCAGGCGTCTCCTTTTGGCGTGCTGTGGGTTGCGCTCATCCGGATTCACCCACACATACATGCCCCGGTTCAAAACTTTTGACACCCATCAGCCGAGTGGAAGGACTTGTTGGTTGATCCTGGCTCCGTTTGTCCTCCCTCCGTAAAAGAAAATGCATCTCAAATTGGTTGGGGATCAGCTCCGGGAAACGGTGGGCTGCTGAGCTTGTAGGGTGCAGGGTTAGGGTTAAGGGAAACAGGCGCAGAAATTCCCATAATCAGCAGAACATTTATCTCCAGTTGGAAAATGCAGCTCTGACAGTTTCATTCAGCCTCCGTCAGTAGCAGAAGTCCCCGCTTGGCCTCATCCTATAGACAGGTCTCTGTCAGGGATTTTAAAATAAATTGCATGTGGAACTCTCTCTCTCTCTCTCTCTGTGTGTGTTTGTGTATACACAAGCAAGCAGCCATATTGGCTGCATTCCTGTTGCATCCTTACGCCTGCGTAATTTGAATCCACGCACGCCATTGTGACATTTGCACCGGGGCAGAGGGTTTATCCAGAAAGCCATTTTGTGGCTGCAGTTGTGCAGTCAGTTGTGTGCAGAGTTGTGTGGTTGGATGCACAACTGAGGCATAACTTTACCCCACGTCCTGCAACAGGATTTCAGCCAGCCGGCAATAATGCAAATAATCCAGTTGACAACATACCAGGAGAAAGGTGGTATATAAAGATATACATTAAATAAGCTAATTAAGGGGGTGCTGTCAACATATCCTTGTATTTTTGCATTTTAATTTCAGCCGCTCTTGACAATCCATGAATCACGGCATCTAGATGGAGCCTCCGCTTTCAAGTGCAGTATATCTTTGAGCACTTCTGTTATAGGAACGGGAGGTGCAGTTATTGAGGGAGGGAGAAATGTCTGCCTGTTTCACTCTTTTTCTCCCTTTATAATCCTTTAATTCTTCCCACCTCAAATCTGAAGACACTGGAGAATGTCGGTCGATACTTCGGGGAGGGAAAGACACACAAATTCAAAGCGAAGCACAAAGCTTTGCAAATACTAATTTTTTTAAAATGGAAACTTTCTCCCCTCTGACTGTCCTCTAGCTGTGAGCTAAAATCTGAATGCAAAACCTCCAGCTTAGTGAGGTAATCGATGTAAACTACGGCTTTATTTGAACACAAACTTTATTTGATACGGTTTCGAGGGGATGGGGTGGGGAGAAAAAAATGATTACCATAATAATTTCCATGCTCTGGCACTTAAAAACGTTGCCAACCAAGTTTGTGACTGGGAAAAGAGGCGGCTAACCGGCATGGCCTCAGTTTTCCTCCCGCACACACTTTTTTTTTAAAAAAAAGGTTTCACTTGGTTCTTGGTGTTTTATCAGGGCAGCCGTGGAAAAAATCGTTGCACGCCATGGCGATGCAGGCGAGGAAAACGGCATATTCCTGGAAATCCACCTCGTTGTCTTTGTTGACATCCAGGTTGCTCATAATCTTCTGGAAGGCGGCTTCGTCTTTCTTTTTCTGTGGGGGGGGGGAGATTAAATGTTAGTTCCCTTTAGCTTTATGGTTTACGTGTCCCTTGTAATTGTGTGTGTGTGTGTGTGTGTGTTTCCGTGTATTCCCAACAAAGCAGAATAACGCTTTGTGGATCTAAAGAAGCATAAAATCGGAAGGGACCCTAAAAGGCCATTTAGTCTCACCCCCTGCCACTCCATTGAATCAACTCTAGACCATCAAAACCTAGGCCACGTCTGCTCCTCAGATGTTCTCTGCTGGATGTGTCGGACTACAACTCCCAATATCCCCACCCCGCCAGGGCTGTACACGGATGCCCCTGCCACACCCAGGGCATGCTTTAAAAGAGATTCCACACGACGGCGGAACTCACTGCTACAGGACGGATGGGACCAAGTTGCAATTTCATGAGACCACAAGGAGATGAGAAACATTACTTTTCTGGACGACCGCCCCCAAGCCCTCAGCAAAGGCTGGGGTGTTTGGGGAGTGTAATCTCGAAAGTACTTTTCCCAAGGGCTGGGGAAAAATGTGACTTTCAACAGTAATCCGTTAAGGTGGGAGGAGGAACATAAGAAGCTGGCTTTCTGCGGCTCGGGCAGCGGAAATAAATAAACATTTTTTGAGTTTTTATTTTTGGGCCTAAAGGGGGACCATCAGCTGCTTCGCGAACGGCTTCCTTAAAAATTAAGTTGAAAGTTTTCGGTTCCTCCCCCCCCCCCAGTCACATCATGTGTATGTTTACGAGGCAGAGCGCTTGGAGGAAAATGTGTATTCCATCTGGTTCCCGGATCTGTGTGTGTGGTCTACTCTCGGTTGTCGGGGAAGGAAAGGTGCCCGCAGGGTGTGGCGTGTGACTCGCATATGGGGTGGAAAAAACCTCAGCTTCCGTCTAACTGGGCTCGAGGACATGTGGGTGGAAAGCAAAATTGAGGAAATGTCCCATAAAACCAGCTTTTTTGCAATGTAGACTTTAAACTCACAGCTCATTTTGTCTATTTTATGACAATAATGTGCCTGGTTTATACACTTTATTTGATGGCCTTAATAATGCAACCGCCCTATGTGAGAGACGTGGAGAGAGAGGGAGAAGAGGGTGTCTATGTTTGAGAAGGGGCAATGATAAGAGAGAGAAAATAATATGGGAGAAAGAGAGTGGGAATAGAAGAAGGCGCCTGAAAAATAGAGAGAGAGGAAGGGGATGATCAGGATGAAGACCCAAAGAAAAAGAGAGAGATGGAAGGGAGTCAAAAGGAGAATGTGAGAAAAAGGGAAGAATTTCTTCCGCAAATAGTCAAGTTGCACCAAAAGATGAGCTAGTTTCTATTTTTTTTTCAGAAGCTTTTGTGAAGAAGGCGAAAAAAGAGAGAGAGGAAGGGAGGCAAAAGGAGAATGTGAGAAAAAGGGAAGAATTTCTTCTGCAAATAGTCAAGTTGCAGCAAAAGATGAGCTAGTTTCTATTTTTTTTTTTTTCAGAAGCTTTTGTGGGTCCCAGCCCACTTCTTTGGCTGAACAACTGTGTCTTTGGGGGGAGTGCAAAACTGCAGAGAGAGGAAGGGGGCTGCCTGAAAGGGAGAGAGAAATGGTGGTTTGGTGTGTGTGTGTGTGTGAGAGAGAGAAGTGCGGGAGCCCACTTCTTTGGCTGAACAACTGTGTCTTTGGGGGGAGTGCAAAACTGCAGAGAGAGGAAGGGGGCTGCCCAAAAGGGAGAAATGGTGGTTCGGGGTGTGTGTATGTGTGTGAGAAGTGCGGGGAGGAGTGTTGGGAAGTGTTTTGCGAGAGGCAAGTTTAAGTCTAGTCTAGACGAGTCTCCGTCTCACTTACGCCGATGAATCCGGGCAGGGTGGTTTGGTGTGTGTGTGTGTGTGAGAGAGAGAAGTGCGGGGAGGAGTGTCAGGAAGTGTTTTGCGAGAGGCAAGTTAAGTCTAGTCTAGAGGCGTCTCACTTACGCCGATGAATCCGGGCAGTTCCTTCAAAAGAAGCTCCTTCATTTCGTTCTTGTTCAGACTGAACTTGTTGCCTTCTTTGCCGGAATAGTTGTGAAACGTCGCCACCATGACGTCCAAGGCCTTCTCCAAGGGGCTCGCCATTTCCGACCTGGAGAGCTGAGAACGGCACAAGAAGGGTCGGGGAACGAGAGAGGGTCAGGATCTGTGCGGAAAAGGGCCGTACATATTTCCCATGTACATACTCCACTCTAGCAAAGGCAGGACAGACTCGATCGGAAAAGAAAGTAAGGCCAAGCGTTGGGTGGGGGAGAGCTTGGGCGTGGATAGGCAAGGAAGAGCCGTTAGCTTTGCCAAAGACCTGCCTCCTGGCGGAGAGAATGGCCAAAACGGGTTTCTTCCCACACCGCGGCCTCTGTTTTCTGGGTCCTCCTGGGAGATACTCCATTTTCTTCCAAATTTACCACAGTAAGGCAGAAACTTGCTGATCGTCACAAAGAGATCATCGTTTCCGGCAGACAACGGATGCAGTCCCATCTTTTCCTCAGTAAATCTGCTTATCTGTCTTGGATAGTCACTCTTTTAACCAACCCTCTGCTACAAATTAGCTAATTGTTGGGGAGCTCACCAAGATCCCAAAGAAAACAAAGTTAATTAATTAATTAATTATTGTGGAACTTTAGTTCTTTGGAAATTAAAATAATAATTAAAATAATCTCTCTGTCTGTCTCTCTCTCTCTCTCTCTCTCACACACACACACACACACACGACACCTCTTTTGGAAACATTCAGATGACACTGGGGAATAAAAAGGGGAGCTTGTGAAAGCAACCCACAGCCAGAGAGCTCGTGAATTGTTTTGGTGATATTTGAATTTTTTTAAAAAAATTAAATTATTTCCCTATTGGCAGGCCATTCGGCCAGCTTGGCAAGCATGAATTATTTTGGTGATATTTGAATTTTTTTTAAAAATTGAATTATTTCCCTGTTGGCAGGCCATTGGGCCAGCTTGGCAAGGAAGAAGAAATAGAAGAGAGTGGGGGGAAAAACACGGAAGAAGAAATTCTGAGTCACACAGTTCCTCTTTGAGGGCGTGCTCGGTGCCAAAGGCGGAGGGGGAAAACTGTGTTGCGTAGAAAGCCCTTCTTCTCTCCAGTTTTTTCTAAGCCAGGCTGTTTCTGTTCAAGACATAACTGTCTTTCCGTGTTTAAATACAGAGGACATCGTCTGAGCCCCCCCACAGACCCAAGGAAGTGGAACGGGACCCATGAAAGCCCTCACCTAAAGAAACTTGTTGGTCTTTATGTTGCCACAGCATTTTACCCCTTGCTCCTCTTTGGGTGTAGGTGTGTGTGTCTCTCTCTCTCTCACACACAATTGGTTTTTATGTTGGCACCGATTTTACCCCTTGCTCCTCTTTGGGTGTGGGTGTGTGTCTCTCTCTCTCTCACACACACACACAACTTTCATTTTGTCCACACGGTGTTGTGTGTTTCTCTAAAGAGGGGTCTGGCCCCTTAGGAGCTTCTTGGGGCTAAAGCAAGGTTGTTGTTTTTTTGAACCACTTTAAAAGACTCACACGCCGTAATTCTTACTCTCTTTATTGCCGTTTCAAATAAAGGGGGTGAGGCATGTCCCGAACTGCTTTTTGTATCATCCCTCCACCATCCATCCATCCACATACATTTTGAAAACTGCTCCCCCCCAAAAAAAATTACATTTTGCAGGCAGAATTCAAAATTATGTACATTTTGGGTTTTTTTTTCTCCCCCCTAGAATTCTCCTTGGCAAAAAGCCAGGGATGAACTGAGCGTCTCTCTCTCTCTCTCTCTCTCTCTCTCTCTCTCTCTCTCTCTCTTACCATGGCCAGCATTTAGGAAGGCGACTATTCCCTGCTTGGAAGAAGCCTAGCCCCATTCTTGGCCAGAGAAAGGATGATGGAAAAGCAAACCCGGGGACGGAAGGAAGCCCCTGATGGATGCATAAGGAGAACCAAGGGGCAGGATCCTGTCCGATGACCCTGGCTATCCCGCTCTGCTCAACTGCCAAACCAAGACCCACTTCTGTCCTTGTTGGGTCCAAACAGTTTCCCCCAGAAAAGGTCCAGCCGGGGTTACTTTCGATTGACTTCTGTCTTAAAAAAAAGAACCGGGCAGAGACATAACAAAATAGACTTACCCAACAGGAAACCCGCAGAGGAGAATAAAGGGCAGACAGAGAGGATGATTATGCCTGGAGCCTCTGCAAATCTGGGCTTTTATTTGGGACGTTCCAAGGGTACACCCTCCTGGGCAGAACAGAAACACGCCAATTGGATCTCTGGTTTTTGGTTGTGGTGGGTTTTTTTGCAAATCTTGGGTGGGGCAGAGACTCCTGTTATAGGCTTCCTCTAGGCTGATTCTTTCCAGCTGTGCGGCAGATGTGCCAGCTGTGGCCAGAGGGTGGAGATGAAAGACAGACGAAGCAAAGGCCAAAGCTGGCACCAGATGGCGCAGAGATGTATCGGGGAGGGCAGGTGGTTCTGCAAAATGGTGCAGGGCCAAACTTCACATTATAGACAGTACATCGTTAGGAGAAGGAATTCCTTAAGAGCTGAAAGCATCTGATTGTCCCATAGAAGCTTTGCACATTTCCTGCAGTCGGTAAGTTGTTTGAGCTTTGTTTTGTGATGGGCGAAGGCAGGATTTCTTTGGAAAGTCAAGTCTCTCGGACCGCAATAGAAGTCAGCATCTCATGCCCAAGTCTTACCCATGTTTTGCTGAAGATTTCCCTCCACAGACCGTAGTGATGGGCTCTGTGGATTTCACTATGTTGAAAGTGAGCCAGAGTTCACAGAGTAAAAGCCTGGTTGCAGGAATAATAAAATCATCCTTTGCTAGCAAATCTTCATGTCTTGAGAATCATGACTGCCAAAGCTGTGCTCAGCTCTGGATGATCGACCACAAGACAGAACAAGTGCCTGCTGTCATAATCAGATGCTTTCAGCCATTCAGGAATTTTCTCTTTCAATAACGGGTGATCTGTAAGGTATAGTTCGACCCTGTGTATCCTGTTAAATAAGGATGGTTGAGCATGTGTAACAAGGAATGAAGGCCAGGTAAGAAGTATTTTTTACTGCATTACTTTTAACTAGTTACTTTCAGGATTTGGATTGAATAGTGGAATGTTCACTTTCACACACACACACACCTGTGGCCTTTTTTGTGAATATTTTTTGGTTGGTAAGAGTCTTGCGGGAAACGTTTTTACTGCATTACTTTTAACTACTTTCAGGATCTGGATTGAATAGTGGAATGTTCACTTTGACACACACAAGACACACGTGGCCTTTTTTGTGAATACTTTTTGGTTGGTAAGAGTCTTGCGGGAAACAGCACAATAGACAACAATTCGGAAGCACATTCCCCATTAACCCCCTTGAAATTAGGAATATCTCATGGACTGATATAGAGGGGTACCCCAAATTTCCCAGGGAGGGAACCACAATCTCTTGAAGGCACAGAGCCGGGCGTTACATATCCTTGGATCCCAGGAGTTCGTTCAAAGGACAACCCACGGAGGTAGCGTGGAAGATTTCTTTCATCACAGGCTTTCGTCCTTCTCTTTCTCGGCCGCATCCAAATCCTCTGACTCGCCCTCCCTGCTCTCATGCCTCGCTTCTGAGCACACCCCAGCCCCCTGGGGGTCTCGGGCCCCATCTTGGTCGGCCGTCACTCGTGGCTGGACCGCAGGGCTTTCATTGAAGAAGTCGTGGAAGAAGGTGCAGGCTGAGGTCACAAAACGGATGTACTCCTCGAAGTCCACACGACGGTCCTGGTTCTCGTCCAGCAGCACCAAGAGCTCATCGAGAGCCCTGTCTTTGATTTCCAACTAGGAGCAGAAAGCAGAGGGAAAGAGAGCGATCCGGGATTTAGCGTAGCATCCCCACACCGTTCAGGATCACAGGCCAGAAACCCCGCCAGCCCCAAATCAGGGGAGACATTCATGTTTCACAAGATAACTTTCATATTTTTAAAATTTTGCATTAAAATGTTGGAGTTTTTTCCCTCCCTTGTGTCTGTTGAGGAGTCAATAAGACTGTTGAGGCCCTGCTGTTGTAATCAGTCATGTTTGTCCGTTTTGCTGTTCAATTGTAAGTCATTGAACCTTTTATTATTCTTTCTCTTACTTGTGGTCTCAGAGTGAGTTGTTGAGAGCGTAAGTGGCCGTCGATAAGAAATGGGGGTGGTGGTGGACTACTCCAAGGAACCTGAATCTAATTTTGCTATGGGAATCCCTCAGCTAGAGGAACTGAACCAGCAATTCAAAACCCCACGACATACAGTAAAAGGCTGCATTTTAGATGTGGAGGGAGTTTTTTTTAAAAATGGAAACTCAGCATTTATAAATTGAAGTTCCAGGTGCAGAGATAAGCCTGGAGCTTAGTTACAAAGTAATTATGCACATATATATTTACTATGGCATCTGTTTCTCATTTTCCCCTCGAGGAAGTTGAAAACATGTGTTCCCTCTGCATTTTCTTCCAAACAACCCTGTGAGGCGGGCCGGGCCCGGAGTAGGGTTTTTTTAATGGAAACTCAGCATTTATAAATTGATGTTCCAGGTGCAGAGATAAGCCTGGAGCTAAATTACAAAGTAATTATGCACATATATATTTACTACAGCATCTGTTTCCCATTTTCCCCTCGAGGAAGTCGAAAACATGTGTTCCCTCTTCATTTTCTTCCATACAACCCTGTGAGGCGGGCCGGGCCCAGAAGGATCACAGCGATGAGCCGGAGGCCACCCCCCCCAATGATGTTTTCGTGGGACGGTAAACCTGGCAGACACACTAATCCTGACTATGGCCCGCATCTGGCCGAATCCGACCTTGTTGGACTCAAGGTGCACAGGACCCTACGGAGATGTCAGAGGAAGGCTGGACCCTCCATCCAGACGGAGCTTACAACCCATTTGACAATTTTGGAGTTCATTGCACGGGTGTTTAGCACCCCTCATCGGGCCCCGTCCAAAATGTTCGTGTCGCCTTCGAAAGTGTCCGCCCTGCATTTCTAACTCCCTTAAGTCCCACCAAGGTCCTGACCTTGCTATATATTTTTTTTTGGGGGGGGGAGGCCGAAATGCTTACAAGTTGGAGGCTGGGGAGCTCATTCTCCAAAAGCGCCTTCATCCCCCCCAGACTGAGCGTGTTTCTGGTGCCTTCTTCCCGGCAGTAACGTTGGAAGGTGCACGCCAGCACTCCCAGGGCCTTCCCGAGAGAATGAAGGTCCTCCATTGCGGATTCAGTGCAGAAACGGCGCTGCGAGAAAAGGAGCGAAATATATATATATCAGTTGTTCCCTAACGGGCAACCACTTGGAGGTGCCGGACGACACACCCCATCACCCTTAGCCACCGCAGCTGTTTGAGCTTGGGGTCCGATAGACCTTGAGGACGACAGGGTGGAAAAGAAATTACCCAACAGCTTCCAACTTTACTATGATCCTAAAAACGAGTGACATTAGCAGCTCGGTTCTTGCAAACTAAACCTTGTGGCTTCCTTTAGAGAGTCCGTCCATCTTGTATTGGGTCCTCCTCTTTTCCTGCTGCCTTCCCCCTTCTCCTAGCGCGATGGCCTTTTCCAGACAATCCTGCCTTCTCAGGATGAGGCCAAAGTAGAGCAGCTTCAGCTTCAATGTTTTCGCCTCCGGAGACGGTTCAGGCTTGATTTTGATCGAGCGCCCCCCCCCCTTGTTCATCTTTCCAGCCGCCCGCTAGAGTCCTAAATCTCTTCCCTGACACTCGAATGAATTACCTTTCCTTCATCCCATACTTCTTTCCCCCAGTATACATTCCTGAAAGCAAGGCATAAATAAAACATGAGAAAATAACTTGACACTACAGCATCCCCAAACCCAGACGCCCGCCATGCGAGAACACCACGCTTTGGAAACACAATCCAGATTCACTCCGCTCAGCTATAAAACCAAGAAAATCCCTTTCTGATGCACAAGGTAGGAGAAGCCCCATTAAAAAAAACTCACAGAAAAGACACCTGCCGTTCTTCTTCCCCCGGACGATTACGAAACGTACAAACCAAGATCTCCCGGGGATCATGAAAAGGGAGGTTGGATCCACCGAGAAGATCGGAGACTTGAATGTAAAAAGTTCTGATTTCTCCCAAAGCAATCTTGGAAATGTCTCCTCGCGCACTCCCTACCTGACAGGTTCTCCTCCTCGCCAGGAAGACAGGCAAATGGATGGGATCCACCCTGTTGTCCCATCACGCCCGATCCCAACCCACACCCATTGTTGCTCCAGCAGGAGAACCTCCTTGCTCGTACCCTGAAAGGGCAAGCCTTACGCTTGGGTTTATTCCCCCCCAGTTTTACAACGTTGACAGATAGGACATCATCATCATAGAACTGAAGACCTGGAAAGGACCCTCTGAATCATCCAGTCCAGACCCTGTCAAGGAGGCCCATGGTGGAATCAAACTCCCAACCTCATTAAACCCCTGAGCTAGATCCGTTTCTGCTTATTCTTGATTTCCCACCACTGATCTTCTGCTCTGGTGGCTTTTAGGAGGTACAGAAACTTTTGCCCTGATGTAAACATTTTTTGCAAGTATGCCAGCTCTGTGGTATCAGCTGCAGGTGAGTTCCAAGCCCCCCCCACCCCGTGGATGATGAAAAAAGGTGGACGTATGGAACAATATACACGACATGGTCTCCTGCTCTCTCTAGTGGCCAATTCTGGTAAATGCACCCTGTATTTCTGGGGTTTTTCATTTCCTGTGTTCAGGCAGCGGATAAGCGAATCAGCGGATAGCTGGTTCACTGTAGCTAATCCTTCTATAATGCTTCTTTCGGAGGGGTAAAGGACATATTTACCTTTGGCAAAATGTTATAGAGTGGCTGTGATCCCAGAGCATGGAAGTCTCTGGACAGCAAAGATAACTATCATCGTGGCAGTTGAAGGGGACTTGAGAAAATCCCCGATACGTGAATGTTGACTCTGATTTCATGGGAAGGACAAATCTGTTCTGGGTTTTGCTCCGAACTTTACAGAAACTTTCCGAGTGGCTGACTCTGCAACGGAAGCCACAGCCTGGAGTTGGAAAGAGCGCTAAGGATGGGACCTCTTGGAACACCTTCAAAACAGGGCCCCCATCCCTCAGAAGTGACTGGATGGTGTGTCACCAGCAACATCCGTGTTGCAGAACCCTATTCCCCCCCTTAAAAATTAGCTTCAGAACCTTGGATAGTGCCTCTAAAGTTCAGACTAAAATCCGGTGCGCACCCTAGCAAAATAGGACCCGCCCGTGGAAACCCAGCTAATCCTGAGGTTGCACATGAGTGCAATTTTGCTTCCAGCCGGACATCTTGCATTGATTGGTACATCGAGAAATTTCTTTTGAACATCTTTATTATGGTACAGCTCATGCCACCTGGGAGACAGATGTTGCGGCTAAAGAAGCCCCCACTGGAAACGTTGGCTTTATCTTTTGCGGTTGCTCTCGTCGGCGCACTCCAGAAAGTACTCATTACAAAGCGAAGCCGCCAGCGCTACGAAGACCGCGTACTCCTGGAAATCCAGCTGTTCGTCCCGGTTGCGATCGAGTTTCTCCATCAGGTTCTCCAACCCGGCTTCATCAACCTTTCCCTAGAGGGAGAAGCCGCATCCAAAGCTCAAAGAAAGCAGAGTATAGGGCATGTGACGGTGGTTTAAACTGTGGTCCGGTGCAAGATTTGATCCACGTTCTATCGGCATTAAAACCCCCATTTATTTGCAGTCAAGATGCTAGCAATAATCCCTCCAGTATTCTAGATCTGCATCATGCTATTCCAAATTAATAAAAAAATAAAATTGTGAGCCGTTGAGTCAGTTCTGACTTAAGGCAACCCCTTTTCAGTGTTTTTAGGTAGAAAATACTCAAGAAGTGTTTTATTATTTCCTTCTTCCAGAGGTGCTCTGGGAGTGTGCAGGTGGCCTAAGGCCAACGGGCTGGCTTTTCTGGGGAATTGAACTCTCAGCTTCTGCGTCCGCAGCCAGAAATCTATTTCACGAAAACATCCAGGTTACGGAGGAATGGATAACATCACAGATCAGGGATGAGATAATGCGTTCCACCCTCTCCCTTTAAATCAGACGTGGGAATTTCCAGCCCTTCAGGGCATCCACAAACCCACAAAGTTGGGGGGGGCAACCAACCCTTCCCTATATTGTAAAAATGTTTCTTAATTATTTTTTTAGGGATGCAAAGGGACATTAAAAAAAAGATCAAGTAAGCTGCAAATTAGAAAAGATTATGATCAGATCCCGGAAGAGTCACTGGCACTGTCCAATCTGAACTGCACAGGGAAACTCAGAGATGATGACTGCTTAGCTCCTGAAGGCAACATTGAATTTTTTTTATCATACGCACATAAGTCCACTTGGACTTTAAGGATATGTTCAATAGCTCAGCCTCACCCTGACAAAGATGGGCAGCTCATTGAGGATCAGCTCCTTCATCTCGGCTTTGTTCAGCTTGTATTTGTCGCCTTCCCGGCAGGAATATTTGTGAAACGTGTCGATCATCACCCCGAGAGCTTCTTCGAGAGGGGTATCCATCTTGGTGCCTGGAAGATGCAGAGTGGGATTAGAATTTGGCTTTAAGGATGGGATTTTTTTTTGGATTATCTGGACTACAAAGCCCATAATTCCCCACTCTTGGGCGCTCTACCTGACAGACGGATAATGTACAGACACCTACATTTTGCTCACCTGGGAGAAAAGGCCTAAACCAGAAGGTGTTGAGGCTCAGCTAGGCCTAGCTGTGACAAGCTTCCTGTCCAGAAAGGAAGTTCCTGGTTTGTATCAGGGTAGGAACAGGAAGTTGGTGTGGAGCTAGGCCTAGCTCAGCCTCAACGCCTTCCAGCTGAGGCCTTTTCTTCCAGGCAAACTGTGTGTAAATCAGGCAGAATTCCCAGAGTGGAGAATTTTGGGATTTGTAGTTCAGAGTCTCCAAAAATCTCATCCTTCATTGGCTTTCAAGGCAGGTGTAAAGTCACACCAGCTATTGGCACCCCATACATTTCTTTCTGTTCTGTCTGGAATCAAACAACCGTCTTGCAGCTAGTCCATCATCCTCTCCTCAAAGTGACCTTCCTAACCCCATCCCCTTCTTGGTGCCGAAAGCCAGGACTGGCCTGATCACAAGGCTCAGTGAAGCAGCCACCTTAAGGATTCTCATCCAGGTCACCACCTGGAGAACCGGATTCGAATCTCTGCGTGCTTCCAACGGAAGACAAATCTGTGTGCTTTTTGAAAGATGTGTTCAGATTACCGTAAAAACAGAGGAGAAAAGAGAAGCGAAATGACTCACCCGGACAAAGGAGAGAAAGCCAGGGATATGCAGAGAGGAGCAGGGTGCGTGAGAAACACAACAAAATGTCTGGCTTGTGGGTCTAGCCGCCTGCTCTGTTGCGGCGCCTCGGCTTCAAATAGATACCTGCTTTTCCAGCTCAGCTATTAATTTTAACTCTTTGGCTCTCAGCCATTCCCTTGCTTCCAGCCGGTCTCAAGTTCGAGCATCGCCCGGTGCGCATTTATCCAGAGGACATAGAGGCGGGAAATGGGAATCCTTTAAGAAGACAAAACCCACCAGGGAGGGATTTTCATATGAAGTGGAAAACCTCATGTAAATGGGTTTTTCCCCGTCTCTTGTGAATGCGCCAAACGACATACTTCGGAGTACGTTGTTGGTGTAAACGTGACTCTCGAGTCCGTTCTTGTTCTCGAGAATGGATGGTTGAGCATTTCCTTTCAGCTTGCTTCTCAAACAGCTGCGCCAAAATTTAAACAGTTCATCCTTTTCATGGAGGAAAAAAAACTTGAGAGTCAAGTGACGTCAGTGTGACTGAAATGGAAATCGGCAAATCCATCTGTTGAGACTCAGAATTGTGTATGTCTGATGCTTTGACATCCCAGTCTATTTCAGCCACCTTATTGCTGATTTAGGGTCACCATGTCTTCTTATCCCCTCTCCCTCCTCTCTGTTTTATTTAATACCCAATATATAATAAGTAGTATATAATAATAAATGACTACATTCATAATACTAGAAAAATACATCAGGGTGTATTTTTATACCCTGACTCACCTACGTGCAATTTTTATGAAAACATCATCCAGAAGTTGCTCAACAACCATCATCCCCATGCCTTCGCTGAAAAAGAAACCGCCCTTCCAATCGGATTTACCTAGAGGGGAGACCTTAAGCTGATGTGTTGGAGCCTGCCCGGCAGATGGCCGACACACCTAACTATTTGAAATTCTGCCTCTTAATTCCTTGGTATCTCTCTCTCTCTCTCTTGGAAGAAAAATGTTCATTTTCTCCGATGCATCTCCTTTATGCTCAGAGTTAGAGCCAGCTTTAATAACCAGCTTCAGAGTCTAGACTTAAAGCCATCAACCAACACTTGAAGGTCGCTTCATCTGTGGTCCAAACAGGTCTACCAGCTCATTACCTTATCCATCCCATAATTCCAGTTTTGAGGAGGCCAGGAGAAGGCCGGAAATGGATTCTCAGCCCATCGTCAGGGTCTTTTGAAGCCATAATTGGCATAACAAGACAGATCCATTTAGGTCTGATTCAGACATGGATTAGGGGATGTGTTGTCTTTGGGATATTTGGGATTACAAAGCCCAGAATCCCAAGATGGCGATTCTCAGAGTCAACATCTAGAACCTGTTGAGGGCTAGAGGCTCAACAATTGTGTTTAAGATTTCAGATTTAATAGGCTCACAGTGAGATCTTTGAACCAGTGTTGTGTGTTGGCTGGGGATTATGGGCATTGTAGTCAGAAAAGAACATTAGCAAGCGCTGGTGCTGAAAGGAAGGTGGCGTGCCATAGCAACCTCCCACAAGGAGTGGCAGAGCCCCTGTTGAAGTCCTCTGTCTTTTGGGCTTCTTTATGAACCTTTGCAAGATGACTCTGTTGTGTTGCTTTAATATCGCTCGGATATGTCTTGTTTCTTAAATATTTATGGCCTGGTTTTCTGTGCATAGCAGAGTTCTCCCTCTCCCAAATTGCCCTGGCAAACCCAAGAAGAGGAGACAGAAAGGCTAGGGTTAATACAAAGAATATTTTATTCTATTCGTAGTATTAGTGTTACTTTCCGAATTGAAATCGGACACTCATTGGCAAGTGTTTGACCCATCAGGATTTATTTCTTAGGGAGCGGAGGTTTGGGGCAGCCGCGGAAGAACTCGTCAAAGCCCATGGACACGCAAGCCAGGAAGCAGGAGAACTCCTGAAAATCCACTTCGTTGTCTTTATTGTGATCCAGATCACTCATGATCTTCTGGAATTCTGTGGGATCCATTTGTTTCTGGCAGCATTAAAGAAAAAAAGAAGTCAAGGAGCATCTCAACCTGGGTGCAACTTTTAAGCAGTGTGAGCTGCTTTCCCCCACTTTGCCTTCCTCCTCCCGATTTTCCTTTGGTGGTGCATCTTTTAGGTTTTTACACCTCTGAATACGGGCACCTACGGTGACTGTTTGAAAAGCTGTATGTAGATGACGGGACAGTACAATCCACCTTAAGGGAAGTTTATAGTTTTTAAACAAGACATGGCAAGACAAAATGATCAATTCAACCAGTTAAATAAACATAGCGCTTGAATGTTAAGGCCATGTAGAACTGATGGATTCAAATGACAAGGAAGCAGGACAGACATTTTTAAAACCACTAATTGCTTATTTAAAATCTTTTTCCAAGCCAGTTGTGGCAGACGCTGTCAAGATACTAAGATTGTGGGCAAGGGCTGGAGCGACAGAAAAATGAGATTTGAGTCTGTGTCATCAATGCAGCACCAGCCAAATCACAATCTTTGTGTTAGCAGATTAATGTAATGATCTTTCCACTGAACGGCGGTCTCTAGCTGCGGAGGCGGACTTACGCTCTTGAATCCGGGCAGCTCGTTCATCAGGAGATCCCTCAGTTCCGCTTTGTTCAGTTTGTACTTATTGCCTTCTTTCCCGGAATACTTATGGAAAGTGATGACGATGGTGGCGAGGGCTTTTTCCAGAGGAGTCGTCATGGCTGCGAACCAAACTAAAATAGAAAAGACAGCCATCTCGTCAACAAGGGAGGAGAAGCAGAACCAGGTTGGAGGATAAAGCATTCCGGGTCTGAGTTTTGGCCAGCCGGGCACCCCGACCGTCTTCTAGAAAATTCCATTCCACCCTACTTCCCAGCACCGTCTCCGGTTTCTGTGTCCCACCAAGCATTCCCGAACTTCATTGGAGCATTTCTCGATCTCTCCCTTAATCTTCTCCACTAAAGTTAAGAAGATTTTCAAGACCCATGGGGCTCCAAGAACTAATTTCATTGTGTTTGGGGGCCATTGGTCCTAGCGGAAAGGATCCTCCTTCCAAACCTTCCCTCCCCCAATCTTCTGCTACACCTCTCTCATTTTTTAAACTAGAGAGGACCATGATTAAGAAGGATATCTCTGTATTCATGCTTTATGACTAGTATGAAGCATTAGGTACTCCATCACTGTGATCTGTGCTCTACCAGTAAGTTGCATCTCTTCCGCAGAAGAAATGGGCACAAGATCACTTTGTGACATTTCCTTCAAAGTTTCTAACCTCCTTCCTAGCTTTCTATTTTTGGTCATACCAGTGGAAACCTCTTCTCCCCACCCCGAGAATCTGATCCAGTAAAGAAAAAATTCATCCGTCTCTCTAGAGGTTCTCCCAGAAAAGACCCTAAGAAGATCCCTCTTGATGTTCTCAAGAACTTTTCAAGGAAAAAATTGGGCAGCTGGTTTTTAAGAATCTTAGAAGCACAGACTTGTGGAGTTGGAAGGGGCCTCCAAGGCCATCGCGTCCAACTCCCTGCTCAAGGCAGGAACCCAAATCAAAGCAGAACCGAGGGCGGTCCAGTTTTCTCTTGAAGAAGGACGTTCAAGAGAGAAATAGAAAGCACTTACCGTTCAGAAAGATAAGAGGAATTCCAAATCTGAAGCAGACCGAGAGTTCTTCTACGGCTTGACCCGTGGTGTCTCTTATATCTTCTCAAAGTCCAGCCCCTGAGATGCCACCTCCCTATGAACCAAGAATGAAGTTCTCCCTATTGGGTGGCATGTTCTTTCCAAGGGGTTCTTTTTTTTAAACCAGCGCCTCATTTTTCTCCATCCTGGCGTGTAAATGCACCAGACCCTTAGCATTTGGCTGCTGACACAACGTGACAGGTTATGGCTTACTGGTTTTATTGGAATTAACCCCAGTGAAAGATGCAAAGTGACACCTAGGCCGGTTCAACGTAGCGTGTGGAATCTGGGGAGTTCTCGACCCATTTTAACCCCTTGCCATTTCCCTTTCGTGGGGGTGGCTTTTCCCCTCTGTGTTTCTTTTCTCTTTTCTCCAGGCCAAGAGCTTAGAGCTCTTTTGCAAAACAGCAGGTCCTGGGTTCGAACATTGACACCTCCCGTTAAAGGAACTGGGAGAAGAAGGTGAGATAATCTCAGCTCTTCCTTGGCTAAGGCTGTGGAAGGCCACCACCCTTGCTTAGAGTAAGTTCATTTTTCCTACGACTGTCCTTTCCAGATTTATGAAACGTCCGACCCCATCATCCTCAGGCCAGCCTTGAACAGGACCCAACATCTCTTGTAATAGTGGTGGTTGTGGGTTTTTCGGGCTCTTTGGCCGTGTTCTGAAGGTTATCTCTTGTGATACGTAGGGCTTCCTCAGCAGGTAGGGTCTATCTGCAAGTTCAGATGAAAAAAACATGGGGTTTCAAGATGTTTGATGCCACCAGACCTCACAGGGAATACCAGTAGGATTTTTTCTAGGAATCTCAGTTGACAAATGTCGTGGAGAACATGGAGGGGATCCAGAAGAAGTCAACCAAGGTGGTCCAAGGTGTAGAAGCCAAGCTTGGTGAGGAACAGTTGAAGGAGTTGAGTATGTTTGGCTGGAGAAAACCGAGAGGTGATGGGATTGGCCATCTTCAAACAGTTGAACTCTTTGGCCCAGGGAAGAAGATCCAGGGGGCAGGACTTAAACCTAAGCCTATGAGCTGAAACAACAAGGGAGGAGATTTTGATGAAACCTAAGAAAGACCTTCTTGATGGTAAGATGGTGGAAGAAGGTGAGGTCCTGTTCATCATACATCTCCACTGCATGTACGCCAGAGGTGGGCAACTGTCGGCCATCCACATGAGGTTGGATTACCACACGCCTAGCATCCCCTCACCCTTGACTGTGGTGGCTGGGACTGACAGGAGCCAGGATAGGAGTCAATTGATCTCATGACAAAACCAGTTAAAGGAACTGGGCTTCAGGGACTATCACGAGGAGCAAGCATCCTTCGAAACGGACCGCCCCCCTCGCCGACATCCACAAGGGCGCTCCCTGGAGTGAAATCTCCAGAATGTTATTGAAATCAAGATGGCGGCCCTCACGCTAACACTGACTTCTTCCTATGGTTCTCGCTTTTGGCTCAAAAAAAAAAAAATCAATCCAGGCTCCTCCCCGCACACACATTTTTAAGATCCATCCCTCTGTGAACTCCAGATAACTCTGTTTCCTTTTCTGACTCTGCATTTATACTGGGTGTAAATCAGGCCTTTATGGTCATCATACATCTCCATTGCATGTACGCCAGAGGTGGACAACTGTCGGCCATCCACATGTGGTTGGATTACCACACGCCTAGCATCCCCTCACCCTTGACTGTGGCTGCTGGGACTGACAGGAGCCAGGATTATGGGTACAGGTCGATTTGTCTCATGACAAAACCAGTTAAAAGAACTGGGCTTCAGGGACTATCACAAGGAGCAAGCATCCTTCGAAACGGACCACCCCCCTCGCCAACATCCGCAAGGGCGCTCCCTGGAGTGAAATCTCCAGAACGTTATTGAAATCAAGATGGCGGCCCTCGCGCTAACACTGACTTCTTCCTCTGCTTCTCGCTTTTGGCTCAAAAAAAAAATCAATCCGGGCTCCTCCCCGCACACACATTTTTAAGGTCCGTGCCTCTGTGAACTCCAGATAATTCTGTTTCCTTTTCTGACTCTGCATTTATGTCGGGATTACCCTGCAGTGTTGGTTTCTTGGGGGTGTGTCAGTGGAGAATTTTTGTGGCCTTTTTTATCTTTTCCATTTGAGCTCTGCAATAAACTTGGTGTGTGTGTGTGTAAATATTTGCACCTTTTGTCTCCCGCTGGAAGAATAATGTGGGTTTGTTTGATAAGGAGGCAGGGGGCCAGGTGGAATGAACGGCTGTCCCGTGAGAAGCAAGTCGGCATCCTTGGCTGGGAGGGAGAAAGTGCCGTTCCCAGACCTTTTGCTGCCTGAGACAAAAGGAAATACGAGGCGTGAATACACCCATTCCACACCTTCATGCCAACCGGAAGGGTAGTATGTATATCTCGGTCATATCTAGGAAGGAGAGAGAAAGAGGCTTATAGTGGGCATCATGCCAGTATACATATATATCAGTGGTGCCTCGCTAGACAATGATAATCCATTCCACTGAAATCGCTGTTTAGTGAAATCATCATCTAGCGAAAAGCATTTCCCCGTTGGAATGCATTGAAACCTGTTTAATGCGTTCCAATGGGGAAGAATCATCGTTGTCTAGCGAAGATCGGCCATAGGAAAGACGCTTTGCGAACCACCGATCAGCTGTTTAAATCGCTGTCTTGCGAAGCGCCTGAGACAAAAGGAAATATGAGGTGTGAACACACTCATTCCACACCTTCATGCCAACTGGAAGGGTAGTATAGTGGTGCCTTGCTAGACGATGATAATTTGTTCCACTGAAATTGCTGTTTAGCGAAATCATCATCTAGCGAAAAGCATTTCCCCATTGGAATGCATTGAAACCTGTTTAATGCATTCCAATGGGGAAGAATCGTCGTTGTCTAGCGAAGATCGGCCATAGGAAAGCCGCTTTGAGAACTGCTGATCCACTGTTTAAATTGCTGTCTTGCGAAGCTTAGGTCCCAAAAACACCCGTTTTGCGAGCGTGGAGGGAGCTGTCAAAATTGTTGTCTAGCGAAAATCGGTTTGCGAAGCAGGGATCAAACGTTGTCCGGCGAAATTCCCCCATAGGAATCACTGTTTTGCGAATCACTATAACGATTGCAAAAAGTCAATGTCTAGCGAAAAAACTGTCATGCGGGGTAAATGTCTAGCAAGGCATCACTGTATACAGTACTGGCATGATGCTCACTATAAGCCTCTCCCTCTCTCTTTCCTAGATATGACTGAAACAGGGCCTTCTTAATTATATTGTTCCAGTCTACGGCCTGGAAATGTTTGTGGCTTTTTGAGAGGTTCTGATGTTCAAAATTTCCCCAGTCTTTCTCTGCTTGAACTCTCTCACGAGGTGGTTGTCGGGAGCAGGCGAACCGAGGATGCGGGTTCCAATCCCTCAGTCATAAGGGCCACTGATAAAGCACAGAAGAGACTGCGTCAAGAGGAAACAGTACAGAGGGAACGGCTCATTGCAGGTTTGGGCCGGAAGAAAGAAGAGGAGAGGGGAAGGGCGTGTCAGTGATTCATACCAAAACCCGTATCCGATCCATCCGGTCTTACCGGTTTGTGAACACCTGGAGATAAAACAAGGTGTGTCCTTTGCGAAGGGGGTGGAAAGCGATGCAAGAAGAGGGAAGCAGAGGAAGGCTGCCGAGAGGCAGAGGTGGAGAGAGTGGCCTTGCTAGCCAGAGGATGCTGGGACCTGTAGTTAAATAAAGTACTGTATTTTTCGCGCCATAAGACGCACTTCCCCCCCCCAAAATTGGGGGAAAAGTGTATGCGTCTTATGGAGCAAAATTCCCAGATTATTTTTTTCCTGTTTTCTTAGCCTAAAAATTTGGTGCGTCTTATGGAGAGGTGATAACTTTTCTCACCTTTATCTTTTTTGTCATGCCCGGGAAAGCTGGGTCATTGCAGCCAGCCAGTTGATGCAAATTTAAAAAGAATGGCAGACGGAAATAGTTTCCCAGGTATCGAAACCGAGGCTGTAAATTCGGCTCCTTTCTGCATCCGTTTTTTGGTCCGAATCGCTGACACCCCCTTTTCCCCTTGACTTCTTCTTTCTGCCTCTCCAAACTAGCCACGAAGAGTTCCCTCTGTGCTGTTTTCCCGTTCTTTTATTCCCGTCTGCTGTCGCCTGCAAAGGAAAATCAGCAAAGGGCATGCCCCAAAACTGAAACACAGAGATGTAATGCAAGAAACATTGTTTGTGTAGTAGTAGCAGCATCGATAACAAAGCTGCTGACGCTACAGATTTCATTATCCTCAAAGCAGCCTCCAGCAGAGGAAAAGCGAGGTTGCCATCACATTTATAGCCATAAAATGCAGGAATAGCTTTTTAAAATAGTTTAAATAAAGCTTTGATTTATTGCGGTTGTAAAGTGAAGGAATGCATGCCAGGTCTTTCCCAGCCTCACCTTAATTTTTATACAGCCCTAACAAAAGTTATTTTTTTTAAAGAAAATAATTGGTTATGAGTTACAGGGCTAACGATTCCCAATTTTGTAATGATTGTACGTAGTTACAGTTTTGAAAAGGAACTCTTTGCTTCCTTACTCTCCAGAAGCAATCAAAATAGTTTCTTTTGCTTGGTTTTTAAAAACTCAGAATTTGAAAAGCCAGCCTGCGCACTGGTGTTTAAAAAAAAAACACAACCGCCTGTAAGGGTAACAGGAGCTAAAACTGCTAAAAGGCTAAATATACTCCTCTTTAGATGAATGAGTGACTTTTATTTCTTTTTTATATCGCTGTCATAACATAACAGAGGTTATTGCAAAAAAAAGAAACGACCATATTTTTCCCTGTGTATAAGACACCTCCATGTATAAGACGCCCCCAACTTTTCTATCCCAAAATTTCTTTTTTTTTCTTCCAAAAAGTGGAAGGGGACAGCAGCTTTTTGCAAAGAAAGTGGGGGGGGGAAAGCACTTTCCTCTCAAAAAAGTGGAGGGGAAAAGACAGAATTGCTTTCCCTCTCCACCCTCTTGTGAGGGAAGTGTTTTCCCCATCCAGTTTCTTTGCAAAAAGCTGATTTCCCTCTCCGCTTTTTGCAAAGAAAGTGGAGGGTGTGCTTTCCCCCTCCACTTCCTTCGTAAAAAGTGGAAGCATTTTCCTGTCAAGAAAGTGGAGGGGGAAAGAAAGAATTGCTTTTCCCCTCCACTTCCTTGTGAAGAAAGTGCTTTCCACGTTGACTTTCTTTGCGAAAAACTGCGGTCTCCCTCCACTTTTTGCAAAAAGTGGAGGGGGAAAGCAGGGATCAAAGCGCTTTGATCCCTCCCCCCTTCCTTACTTCCATGCATAAAACGACCCTCAATTTTTCCTCTAATTATTTTAGGGGGAAACGTCATTTTATGTACGGAAAAATGCAGCAATTTTTTGGAAGCAGCTTCCTCTTAGCTCTGCTTTTATAGAGAACGTCATTTTATACACGGAAAAATGTGGCAATTATTTGTAAGCAGCTTCCTCTTAGCTCTGCTTTTATATCTCGGTTCTTTTACCCCCAGGGATTTGTTTTCTCCTTTGTTGATCCTCTCACCAATAGAGCCTCCTTCATCAGAAGCAGTCTATCAGTGAAATGCTAGCTTAAGGTAGAGTCAAGGCAGAAGGAATCCATCTACTTCTCACTTGGTATGGGGGTGGGAATATCGGTGGCCACACGCTGCTGAGCTTGGTACATTTTGAGATTTGAACCAAACTATTTATGACACTATACCAGCCCTTCCTTTCACTACTAGTTACAGCAAAAGGGGGTGGAGGTAGTTACTCAAGTGTGCAGGAATTGTGCTTTTAAGTGCATTGGTGACTGCTGGGTATTGACCCAGAAAAGTGCTGTTATTCTAGGTCACTTCGCTCAAATCATTTGGAAGCGGAACGCCTTTAAGAGTGGAACGCCTTTAAGAGGTATAAATATATTTATTCTAGCATCAGCTTTTTTCAGCTCTCCAGGTTGCATTCTAGCTGGCTTCTAGTTTTGTGATTGGCCCCAACAAGGTAAGCGTGGGTTCCATGGGGCGAACCGATCGCTCAGGCATGGAGCTTTGAAGGAAGGATGTCTCTGAAGGGGTGCTTTCAGCTTCTAATAGCTGGCTAACTATCTTGTAGCATTTGACTCATCATCTCTTCCTACTGGTGGGATCCAGAAGGGGCCGAGATGAGGCCCAGGATTTTTATCCTGAAAATACTATGACATGAGACATCTTTATTGACCTTGCTACAGATTTTCTGTGACCTTTTGACACCGTGATAGTTCACATGCCACTATCCTACTGCAAGTCCCAATTAGAGTAGACCTAATACAGTGGTGCCTTGCTTAACGAGCGCACCGTACAACAACGAAATTGCATAGCGATCCCTTTTTTGGGATCACTAATGCGATCGCTCAACGACGTTTAGATAGGGCGAAACTTGCTTTGCGAAGATCGGCAAAACGCCGCCCCGACAATCAGCTGTTTGGCGGACAAAATGGCCGCCGGAAGCCCCAAAATGGCTGTGCGCAGCATTTTCGCGCCCTCCCCTCGCTTAATGAGGGCACAAAAATGGCTGCCGGCCATAGGAAACTTCGCTGAACGGTGAGTAAAGGAGCCTTTTGGAACACATTAAACAATGTTTAATGTGTTCCAATGGCTTTCCCTGTCCCGTTCAGCGATGTTTTGCTATAGCGAAGGTTAATCCGGAACGGATTAACCTCGCTATACGAGGCACCACTGTATAAGTGCCAACTTGTTCAGCAACCGAGTTCTCGGAACCCTCTGTTCTTCCTGCCCATCAATTTACCGTTACAGGTCAAATAACGTGCAATGTGTTTATTATCAAACATGTTAGTTACATGTCCAATAATAAACACGAGACCACAGGATCCGAGCAATGTCTGTCCTGGAATCTTGTTGTCCCCACTGACTTTTGGGCAAAGCACCCATAAGGCAGGAGGGCGACGATGTTTCCCTAGCACCCTTTTGCCCCCAGGGATAGACTGCCTCTTAACCTGGAAGCTCCATTGGGCTGTTGTGGCAGAGAGCCACGGTTAGATTTTTCACAGACACACACACACACCTTGTAGGAGAGCCCACCGCAAAATATTAGAGCATCGGCTTCTCCCGGTGGGGGAAGTTCCAGCCAGCCATACCCTTTCGGAGGACCCTCCCTTCCGTTCTGCTGTTATCTTCCTCGTCTCGCCGGTTGTATTTTGTTAGGATGGGACCCTCCTAAAAATAACCCTCAAAACTGGTGTGGTTGCCTTTAAATCCCGACAGCTAGGATCAGAGGGGAAGGGGGCTGATCCTGACCTCTTTGAGATCCTGGGTTACATTTTCACAGCTCTGCCTACTTAGTGACCCAGCCCGGAGCCACCACCTGGTTTTCCCCCATCCGAAGCCTGGAAAAAAGCATTTATAACCTTATGGAGGGCTCATTGGTTTAGATCTCTGGCTGCAGAACTGGGGGTTCAAATCCCCATGGAGCCTCCTTGACCGGGGCTGGACTGGATGATCGCGAGGGTCCCTTCCAGCTCTGCCGTTCCAAGAGGATTATTATCGTCATAAATCATAGGTTGTTCTTTTGGCGCAGGTTTTTCTTTTTTGCTCCTGCAGGGCCTGAATAAATACTATGATCATCATAAATGACAGACTGTTCTTATGGTGCAGGTTTGTTTTTTGTTTTTGCTCCTGCAGGGCCTGAATAAATACCGACGGCTTATCCGTCATTTAATATGGCATGGATCAATCATAAAGGCTTGCTGTGCCTTTAAAAGCTGGGGGCGAGGGGGAAATTCCAGCTTTCTCTGGCCCCGGCTGAGTCATTTTTCTTTTAAGCCGATGACTCAAGCTTTTGGAGTTCACCATGCCAGAGGGGGTGAAGTCACCCGGCGCATACACACACCCAGATTCCTGAGTCTCCACAGAAGGAGTCTGGATGTCTCTCTCCTTCCCACCCACCCCTTGGATTTCCAGGAGTGAGAGAAGCGAAGAGATGCCCGGCTGATCGGCCCCCCCATCAGTTGGGACAAAGGTCCCACTGGTTCAAAGATAGGGCTGGGTCTTCGAAATGCCTTGTGCATAGCCGGAGGGGATAGAAAAAGGTGCCCAGTTCAAGGAAGGGTGGATAATCCTCTCATGCATATGTTATTTCCTCCTTTTCCCTTCCTCTGCTGTTTTTTTCCACTCTCTGTGTCTGACACTGGAAGCTCCTTGCGGGCAGAGACTTGTCTGTGAGGCTACATCACAGAAAGACTACATCACAGAAAGACAGTGCATTTGATTAGGCAGAGACTTGTCTGTGAGGCTATATCAGAGAAAGACTATGTCAGGCTACATCACAGAAAGACAGTGCATTTGATTTCCAAAAGAATGGGCAGCACATCGATTTAAAATACAGCGGCGCCTTGCATGACGAATTTAATTCGTTCCACGGTTAACGTTGTCTTGCGAAAAAATTCGTCTTGCGAAACGCGTTTTGCCATAGGAATGCATTGAAATCTAATTCATGCATTCCTATGGGCAAAAAAAGTCAGTTTTGGTTTACAAAGGGCTGATGAAGTGCTCTTTAAAGCCATACATATTGTGCAGATGATTTTTTAAAAAATCAATCAAAAAGCTTTTAACTTTTTAAACATCGTAGAAAAACATTTAAAAATCAGCAAACATGAGGCAGGAACAAATAACGGAAAACATTCGTCTTGCGAAGCACGGCCGTAGGAACATTTTGTCTTGCGAGTCATCAACCCCCATTTCCAAAAACCATTTGTCTTGCGAGTTTTCTGTCCTGCGAGGCACTACTGTAACAACAACAGTAGTGCTCAATGTCATTTGCCTTGTGAGTTTTCTGTCCTGCGAGGCACCACTGTAACAACAACAGTAGTGCTCAATGTCTTGGGTTCATACCCTCGCCACGGTGGCCCCAGCGTGGCCTCTGAACATGCACAAAGTTCCTCCGTAGCTTTCCTAGTGGAAAAACTACAGGTTTGTAGAGCAGAGGATGGGTTAAGAGGCCACGAACCTCCTCGCGGGTTGTCTGCTGCCAGCTCTCATTTTAAGAATTAAATAAATATATATATATTGAAGGCTGGAAGCCATTTCAGAGACCGAAGTTGGTTTTCTGGGTGAACCGGCGGCATCTGGCGACACCTGGTGGTGATGGCGGCTCAGTGCAGGGGGCGAAAGCGTGTCTTTGCTGCCCTCTAAGAGTGAGGTTCGAGAACTGCTCTCTCACGCTCTTGCCCTTCATGGAATTGGGGATCGGGTTCAGGTTTTGCTTGACATTAGGATTCATTTTGTATGTGTGTGTGCATGTGCTTTGCTTAATAATACCCTGGAAACAACTAGGGACAAGATATTAAATTTTTGAGAATTACAGAGGCCACCATTCTCCACGATGGGAGTTCTAGTTCCCTTCCAGGACCCTGACAAAGGTGGCTCGCCTGGGAGAAGGGCCTTAATTAGGAGCCTCTGATGCTTCCTGTTCCTGCCCCAGTGCTAGCTGGGCGCTTCCTTTCTGCGCAGGAAGTTAGGTGGAGTTAGGCCTAGAAGGGTCCCAGAGCCTTTCCATGTAAGGCCTTTCTCCCACGCCCATCCCATTGTCTTCCAGGCAGGCAGAACTCCCAGAATGGAGAATGGTAGTGTTTGTAATTCAGAAAAATCTAGAGAATCTCATCTCTACAGATGATCTGGAATAGAAAGGCAGTACGAGACCATCTTTACTTTCAATCTTCTTGCAGTAATGAGGACTAGTGGCATGCTTGAGATAGGAAAATGGAAGGACTCAAAAACACCAATCTCACTCCAGTCCTTTATTGCCGTGCTGTGCATAGATTGACAGGTGATAGTACACTGATAGCGCACCCCCCCCCGGTTGGTTCCCCTCGGTCATCCCATTCCGCAGACACGACATTCACAGGTTTAACTCTTGCAAAAGAGCGGATGGAGGGACTAAGACTTTCCATAGGTGGGCAATCAGATTCATAATCATCTCGGAACTGCAGAACTAGAAGGGACCCTCCAGATCATCCGGTCCAGCCCCTGTCGAGGAGAACCAGTGGGGAGTTGAACCCCCAAACCACCGAACTCTCCAGCAGTTCTTCACCTCCTGCATAGATTTTGATGTCACCCAGAGACACTGCAGGGGGGCGTCCCATGTAGCCCAGCCGAGCCACAGGAGCGCGTGAAGGTGGCCCCGGGGACAGGCAAGAAGTGGGCGGGCGTCGAGAGACAACAGGGTGGCCGAACGAGGATCCTGTTGGGCCTCCCTACTTCCCACTTTCCACCTCTTGCTGTTTCAGTCGGGCGCACACGTCGGCAATGTCACCGATGAGGTCCCAGTATTCGTCGAAACTGAGAGCGCCATCTCCGTCGTCGTCCCGCTCCTCGAACAGCTTGTCCGCTGCCGACTTGTACTGGGTTCCCTACAAAGAAGGGAAAAGGCGTGAAAAGAAGAGGAAAGACAGGATGAGTTCCATGATGGGGAAGAATCCTTAGGAACCCTTTCCGCGGGGGCTGCCCTCCCAGTCCGGATGCACAGCCCACCCTTCCGGCGACCCGGGCGCCTCGCTTGTGACGGTTACACTTGCTTTGATCCTTCCACATTGTTGTGACTATTTCACATCGCTTTGCGTCTTGCACATCCGTTGTGACTACGGCCCGTTGTTATGACAATGGGATGCTGCTTTGTGGCTTGTTTATGGTGACTCCCCGGATTCTCCCGTATCTCGCAACAGCTTTGGAGACCATCAGCCACAGTATCCTCCCGGAAGGGTTCTCAGAGATGGGGATTCGGGGTGGGTGGGTCTGGCTTTGAGGTGGCTCCGGTCTTTCCTCGGTTTCCCTGAGGGGCCGTCCATCTCCCCGGTGCTCTTTCACATCGGCGGGGGGTCTGGCTTTGGTGTCGAGATGGACCAGGGCCAACAGCCTCCAGTTGAACCCAGACAAGATGGAGATCGTCCTCTTGGGATGCCCCTCCGACAGGCTGGTCGAGAGTGGGGGGGGCCAAACGGGTGGCTGGTGTGAGCAGATCTGATCACACCTCCCCAGTTTTGGCTTACCTCCGTCCGGTGGCCTCCTGGATCAAGGGACGGACTCTCCCATCAAAGTCCTTCACGATTTGGGACCCATCGCTCGTCGGAGTGTCTCTCCCCCCAAGGTCATCTCCCTGCCCCACCAGATCCTCTCAGGCTATGCTCGCGGAGGCCAGCGGATCTTCCCCAAGAGGCCGGGCCTTTTCGGTGGTGGCCCCCTCTGCTTTGGAATCCCTTCCTGGTGAAGCGGCACCTTCTGCCCTTCTCCTTCCCTAGATTTTAAGAGACGCTGCTGAAGACGCCTCTCTTTCGAGGGGCCTTTGGAGGCAGACTTTCGTGGACTTTCCCCCCGTGTCCATTTCACCTCTGGAACGCTGTGCCATCATGGCTTAAAGCTGGCTTATTCCTGCTGTCCTTTGGTTTCATCTTTTGTTTGTTTGTGTGACTTTGTGGTTTTTATATACCGCCCAGAATAGCGCTATGCACTATGCACAGAGTGGTTTTTATAAAGGACAGAAATAAATACAGAAAATAAACCCACGGCTCGCCTTAGTGAACTGAAGCTTTTTTTAGGGGGGGGAACAACCTCTGGTCCCCCTCGTCTCACCGTGAGCATGTGGTTGAGCTCTTGGTTCAGCATCTTCCGGAACGCTTTCTTCCGGATACGGCGCTCTTGCCAGAAGGCAAGGCCCCTCTCGGCGTGCTTGTCGTACGTCTTCACCAGCGTCTCGATGGCCGACTCCAGCTCCGATGGTTCCCCCATGGCCTCGCCACTTCTCACGCCTTTGGCCCCTGTGAGGAAGAAGAGATGATGGGCCTCTGGGTTTGTAAAAGGCAGAGACCCACAGAGGTTAACATATTGCCTGTGCATGTACAGTGGTGCCTCGCTTAGCGAGCGCTCCGTTTAGCGATGAAATCGCTTTGCGACGAGTCTGTCCTAAAGCCAATTTGTAGCCTCAACTCAATGAGAACCAGTGAATCGGCTGCTGAAGGGGGACTTGTGTCAGATCCTCTGATCCAGTGGAGGGAACCCCTGGAGAATTCAGTGCTTGAAGTCTCTGGCTACGGAGCCAGAGGTTGGGAGTTCGATTCCCCGCTGGGGACTCCATGACCCATAGGGTCCCTTCTAGGTCTGCAGTTCTAAGAGGATGGATTAAGTCCAAAGTAATGCAGTTACTCTTTTGAGAGAGGGAGATAAAACAAAGTTATGCCCCAAAAGTAATTTAACAAGTAGTGAGCACTGTACTTTTACTGGTGTAGTGACGAATATCCAATTACTTCTAGGTGGTATTCGATCGCATTCTTGGGAGGTCTTTAGAGAGAAACGTTTTAGGTTTGATTCTCTTTTCTGTGTCAAACGTTTTTGCTAATAACGACAACAGGAACAACGAAGTAAAGAGAACCACAAACAAGCAATGAGGAACAACGAAGGGTTGATTTTCAACATTTTAGATTTCTTTAAAAAAGCAATTTCTTTCTCCCACGCTTACCCCCCTATGAGGAGAGGCATAGCTCATCTCCAGTCTCTTATGAAGGACCACGGAGGGATAATAACCATTATTATGAGGACTAGAATCCTTTGCTGTTATTTTAGGTTCTATAGATGGTTGCTCACAGGTGGCCGAATCCTCACAGAGCTACTTAGGCAATAATGTCCAAATGTTGCTTTGAGGAGACTTTCACTTTTTAAAAAAATCATTTTAATTTTTCATATTTCATATTTTTTTCATATTTTTTTCACCTCTCCCTCTCCCTCATGCAGAATTTGCCACCTTGGACATTATGGGATAGATAACTACCCAAACCATTCCTTCAACCCCATATTCGGTTTTAATACGTTTCCTTCCTCCTTTTCATGTATATAGCACCCCCTAGTGGCTTCTGTTGATAATGCATCCCCCAATATTTTTGAGGAACGCCTCTTTCCTCCCTCTTCCTGCTCTGCTGCTCCAGATCATCAGAACATCCTGCTCCGGCGAAGGCAGACAATTAACTGGAGCGTCTAAAACCAGCGTCTAAGTTGATCGCCTAGTGGTGGGATCTAATCTAGTTCTCCAAGCGGGAGAGCGTTCTGCCATCACACCCAGAGAAGCCTTTGCAATGCCAGCCACCGAGCACTGCCTCATTTGTGTTTGATTCGTTGTGCAAACACAGAGTGTCAGGACCGGAGGAAGTCTAGATAAACATGAAGTAGACTGCTCGGGCGTTGAGTTGTCTGGAAGACCACCAAGACCAGGAGGGCCCCCAAGTATACCTTCTGTAAACACTTGCCCGAGATTCTTGGTCGTCTCCCCCTTTCATTTCTATATCGTCCCAAATCTGTCCCCACCTATTAGCCTATCATCTTAACGAAGGAGGGTGTTGGTTTGGCTTCTGATCTCACCTTGCCGAGGCATGCCCTCCTGCCCGGAAAAAGTCCCTGACCCATTTCCAGTTCTTCGTCTCCAAACTAAAATAACTTCTCTGCATTTTTCCCCCCGCAGCGTCTGTAGGGAAAAACCGCTTCCCACACATCTGTTCTGAAAGGCACACCGATTTTTGCCCCTTCTTGACCTTACCGTCTTCTGTTTACTGCGGTCCACGGTGCCTGCAAACAGTCTGCCAAATGTATCACTGCCTGTCTATTTATCTCTTTCTGGTTCCTGTGCTTTCGAGAAGAAATCCATGGGAACGCAAAGCGCCTCCCACCTCTTCTGCGTCCCGAGCGCCTTTTGTCCTGAGTATGGCCTTCTTTTTTTTTTAAAGAGAAATGTTCCTCCCTGTGTTGACAGAGATGGCGACATATTATTTTATTCATTTAAAACCTTTTCACCCGGCTGTTCCTCCTGAGCAAGGACCCAGGGTGGTCGTTGTCCTTCAAAGACAGGATTTAAAACAAGCGGCAGTGAGTCCACCACAAACTAAAAAGGGTCAAAACAAATACCGCATTAAAATAAAGGTTAATGAAAGCCATACCAAAAGCACATTCAAAGCAATAAGACGGACCCTTGAGCAGCCGTTTGCCCAGGGAAAGCTCGCCTGAGGAGAAAGGTCGTCTTCCTGCATGAGGAAAGACAGCCAAGATGGGGCGTTCCTGGATTCCAGTGGGAGGGAGTTCCAACGTCTGGGGAAAGGTTAATGAAAGCCATACCAAAAACACATTCAAAGCAATAAGACGGACCCTCGAGCAGCCGTTCGCCCAGGGAAAGCTCACCTGAGGAGAAAGGTCATCTCCTGCATGAGGAAGGACAGCCAAGATGGGGCAGGCGTTCCTGGCTTCCAGTGGGAGGGAGTTCCAACGTCTGGGAGCAGGGGCAAAGAAGACTTTATCCCGTGTCTCCACCCAAACGGACCAGTGAAGGTGGTGGGACGGAGGGAGAGGCTCATGATGGAAGACGCGGTCCTTGGGATCGCTTGGACCCAAGTGGGTTTAGGGCTTTATCGGTTCGAACCGGCTCTTTGAATTCAGCCTGGAAATGGATCAGCAGCTAGTGGAGCTGCTGTCACAGAGGTGGGTGGGCGGGGGGAGATGTGATCCCTGTAAGCAGCCCCAGTCGGCAGGCTAGCTTCTGTGTCTTGAGGTTTCCTGACACTTTCCATAGGAGGCCCCCCATGTAGAGTGGGTTACAGTAGTCCAAAGGGGCAAGGTATCGGGGTGTGTGTGTTTTCCTTTCAGGCAGGGCTCTCCAACGGGTTGAGAAAGATGGTACAATCTGATTGCACAATCAAAGAATCTACGAGGAAGGAGGCTGGCCCCCCCCATGTATCGTTACACATCTTGTGGGCCTCTTGCTAGCTACCGTGGGAGTAACCCGGGTGTCCTGTTTAGATCAGCTCCCTGCCCAACCAAGAATCCATTTTTGAATTCTTGGACTCCAACTCCCATCATTCATTCCCCATCTGACAGATCAGTTGGGGTAGAGGGGAAAAGGAGGCCTAGATTTATTTATAAATATATATAATCTAGGCCTCCTGTTCCCCTCTACCCCAACTGATCTGTCAGATGGGGCAAGAATGATGGGTCATCCAAAGATCCATACTACAACTCCAAGGTATCACAACTGGGGCTGGGGCTAATGGGATGCATAATCTAGCAACATCTGGAGGGATGCTCATTCTCCTCTGTTGTTCTCAAAGTATATTTTTGTAAATCACAGATTTTTTTAACATAATGTGTCTTTGTAGGGTGTGTGTGTTTTGTTACTTTGACTAAAGGAGTTGAAAACAGAAGAAAGAGAGCTTCTCTACCATGAATAATTCATATTAATGCAAGAGGGATACTCAAAGGTTTCCTTTTCTTTTGTATTTCCTTCTTTTGTTCACCCTTTGTCTGTCAAATCGCCCAGGAAACTTTTCACCTGATAACATAATGATGCCTGCAGTCCGCAACCCATCAGAACACATGGGGCGGGGGAAGGAGGGATAGTAATTCTGAACTTATAAAAGGGCTGGATTGTTTGAAACCTTATGAGGAATGCACTTTTGCTTTAGTCATTCGTGTGGGCAAATAACTGTGCTGCTGAGTTCCTGGTGCCCTCCATTGTGGATTGTGATTTGAGTCTTCACACATGACACACCCGCCTTATCTTCTAATATGTCTTTATAACAGAGAATACTGTGGCATCTTAGAAAAAAAATTGTAGAAATAATGGGAATTAATTACTTGGAAGGTGTAGCTTAGAACTATGATAGCAACTGATTACTATTTGAAATGCAATTTTGCAAGATCTGATCAGACTAGCTTTTGAATCTGAGCAGAGGTTGCTCATGCATTGATCTCATGATATGTCAATTCAACATTGCATCTGCAGTAGCCGTAAATTTTCTGTTGTGCAGAGGATGGGATTTTTCTGTATGGTTTTGCACTGTGTAAAGGCACACAACCCCTGAATCACAGCGGCAATGTGTATGTCATAGCTGCTCCTCTGTTCCCTCTGCCCTGGTGTCTTCTAGCCGTTGATTCTCTGAGATTTTGTTTACCTATCTTGCCTTAGTAGGGGTAATCATCAACCCTTTCTACCACTCATGCTCATATAGCAGTCGGGGAAAGTTGTAAAAATAAATAAATAATTGACCAATGGTTCATTGAGACAAGCAGAAAGTGCAGGATTCCCCCCTCCCTCCCAGTTAAATTAGCTTTTCTAAGGGCAGCTTTTCAATCCAAAGATTATGATTCTTGCATTTCAAGAAGTGGGCAGAAACTTTGACTTTTTTCTCGTTCCCCTTCTGCTGTTTCTTCTCACCGTCTGTGTCTGACACTGGAAGCTCCTTGCGGGCAGAGACTTGTCTGTGAGCTAGTTTCAGGCTACATCATAGAAAGACAGTACATTTTATTTCCCAAAGAATGGGCAGCATATCCATTTAAAAAGAATAATAATACCACACATATATGTAAGTTATATATATATATAAATTTATATATATGTATCTAAATTTGTTAGGATCAATATCTACTACAGGTAGTGAAACTTAAGCTTGCAGGCCATAGTTCTTGCATGGGGCCTTAAAAAAAAAAAGAGCCAAGCTCCTTCATGGATCCCCTTCTTAAATCTTTGTCCTTCCTAGTGTGCTAAAGTTAGGTGCAGTTGTATTGTGCTCGAGGACATTGCTGAAAATGGCTGTAAATTGGGATTTCTAGTTCCCTTCCAGGACCTTGACAAAGGTGGCTCGCCTGGGAGAAGGGCCTGAATTAGGAGCCTCTGAGGCTTCCTGTTCCTGCCCCAGTGCTAGCTGGGAGCTTCCTTTCTGCGCAGGAAGTTAGGTGGAGTTAGGCCTAGAAGGGTCCCAGAGCCTTTCCATGTAAGGCCTTTCTCCCACGCCCATCCCATTGTCTTCCAGGCAGGCAGAACTCCCAGAATGGAGAATGGTAGTGTTTGTAATTCAGAAAAATCTAGAGAATCTCATCTCTACAGATGATCTGGAATAGAAAGGCAGCAGGAGACCACCTTTGCTTTCAGTCTTCTTGCAGTAATGAGGTCTAGTGGCATGCTTGAGATAGGGAAAGGCAAGGACTCAAAAAACACCAATCTGACTCCGACTTTATTTCAGTCCTGTACATAAATTGACAGGTGATAGTACATTGGTAGACTTCCCAGATTCAGTGGTTCCCAACCTCGGTTCCCCAGAGGTTCTTGGACCACAACTCCCAGAAGCCTTCACCACTACTGTCCTGGCCAGGATTTCTGGGAGTTGTAGTCCAAGAACATCTGGGGACTGACGCTTGGGAAGCCATGTCTACATCGTCCCAGACACCATATCCCAAGGTATAACTCTTGCAAAAGAACAGACGGAGGGACTAAGAATTTCCGGAGGTGGGTTCCCGTTTCCTGACCCCCATTACGGATTTGGATTTCACACAAACACACTGCGAGTGGGTGTCATGTGTAGCCCAGCCGAGCCACAGTGATGGCCCAATAAAGGCGAAAAGCGAGCTGGTTTTGAGAAGAGAGAGAACGGGGGGTGGCTGAACTCGGATCTGGAATCCTCCCGGGCTCCCTGGAAGGCTCTCTACTTGGTGAACTTCACACTTTCCTCCTGTTGCCGGATCAGGCATGAGATTGGGCCGGCGATGCCGCCGATCAGATTCCAGTACTCGTTGAAGCTGATCCTGCCATCTTGGTTTTCGTCCAGGTCGCAGATCAGTTTGTCGGCGGCGTGCTTGTTCTTCGTGTCCTGCGAGGGCGAGGGGCGGAAAGAGGAGGAAGAAAGTATGAGCTCGAGGATATGGGGGGGAAGAAACACGAGAAACTTTTCCCACGTGGGTTTCCCCTCCTAGTCTGAATACACAACCCGTCCTTCAGCTGACTACGGCAACTTCCACATTTTTTTTTGGTGACTCTTGCCCTTTGATTACTGTATTTTTTCCACGTATAAGACTATACTTTTGTCTAAAATCTTTAGACTAAAAAATTGAGGGTCGTCTTATACATGGAAGTAAGCCGAGGAGAGAAAAAAACAAGTGGAGGGGAAAGCAGGGATCAAAGCGATTCTGCAGTGCTTTGATCCCTTTCCCCCTACACTTGCTAAGCCCCACTTAGATTTCTTAATTTTGGGTTAAAAAGTGGGGGGCGTCTTATACATGGGGGCATCTTATACACGGAAAAAATATGGTATTTCAAAGCAAGGAGTGAAGACTTCTTTCGGGGAGTTTTAGTCCGAGAACATCTGGAGATCCAATGTTGATGTTGGCCAACCCTTCCCAACCTCTTGCCTTGCCAATGTTTTGGACTTTAGGACCCAGAATTAGTATGGATGGAGCCCCGACCCAAAACACATGGAAAACAAGGAGGCAAAGGGGATCGTTGTAGAGTTTGAGGGGCAACCTCATGATTCAGCTGAGTCAACTGAAGCTTTTTTAGGGGGAGGGAACCACCTCTGGTCCTCCTCGTCTCACCGTGAGCATGTGGTTGAGCTCATGGCTCAGCATCTTCCGGAAACCTTTCTTGCTGATGCCTCGCCGTCTCTTGCAGCAGCAGCAACCACGTTTCCCAGCGTATTTGTCATAGTTCTTCACCAACGTCTGGATGGCCCACTCCAGCTCCGACGGGTCCCCGCCCATGAAGTCACCGCCTTTCGCTCCCTTTGTCCCTGTGGGAAGAACAGAAAAGGGGGGGAGAGTGTCATAGATTGGCATGCCATTCCAGTTCAGAATCACGCTAGAAGCCTTTTGATTTGAATTAAAGTGCTCAGGCACATCCGTGAAGGGATGGGGGAGTACTCGTGCCGGCGCTGACACATGTGTGTGGGTGCAAAGCAGCTGTGGGGAGGGGAGTGTGTGCGGGGGGGAGGTCTGTCTCCACGGCCCAGTCTGGTTCAGGCCACGGACCGTCACCGGGCCGCAGACCAGGGGTTGATGACCCCTGCTCTGTAAGGTCCTTTCCAGCTCTTCAGTTCTAAGTTTTTATTCTGTCAAAAGTAATGCAGTTACTTTTGGGAAAAGGAGAATAGAGTGAAGTTACATTTAAAAAAGCAATTTAACAAGGAGAAGCATTTTATTAGCGTAGTGAGGAACATCCGATTACTTCCACGCGGTATTTGATGTCATTTTTGGCAGGCCTTTAAAAAGTGATGTTTCAGGTTTTATTCTCTTTTCAAGACTAAGGGTTCCTCGAATAACAACAACGGGGTCAATAATACCAAAGTAGAGAGCAGCACAGGAAGCCGTGCAGGGAATTACTTGTTCTACACCGTAATGGGGAACAACAAAGCATTCCTTTTCAAACACTGGAACAACTAGGAACAAATTTCTTCTAAAAAGTAATTTCCAAGTTGTCTTTCCCACACGCTCACAGATCTATAAAGGTAAGGAAAGCCACCAGAGCGATGATACTAATTATGATGATGACTAAAACGCTGCTGTTATTCTGGGTTCTATAAATAGTTATTTTGGGTTCTATAAATGTTAGCTCATAGGCGACTGATTCCTCACAAAGTTGCTTATACAGTAATGTTCAAAGGTTATTTTTAGAAGACTAGGCGAATCCATTTGGTTAACCTGTTGATGCAAAAAAATGGTTAACGTTGATATGTTAACCATGGTGTGTGATTTCCAGGATCCGGGCAGAACAGATATTTTAGGCATGTCGTGACTATGAGTGAATGTGATTTCCTAAGAGTGGAACTTCCCTGAGAAATCTTAGCTATCACTTTTTTGCCTTTAATTTTTTTCCCAAGCAAGGAGTGAAGACTTCTTTCGGGGAGTTTTAGTCCGAGAACATCTGGAGATCCAATGTTGATGTTGGCCAACCCTTCCCAACCTCTTGCCTTGCCAATGTTTCGGACTTCAGGACCCAGAATTAGTATGGATGGAGCCCCGACCCAAAACACATGGAAAAAAGGAGGCAAAGGGGATCATTGTAGAGTTTGAGGGACAACCTCATGGTTCAGCTTAGTCAATTGAAGCTTTTTTGAGGGGAGGGAACCACCTCTGGTCCTCCTTGTCTCACCGTGAGCATGTGGTTGAGCTCATGGCTCAGCATCTTCCGGAAACCTTTCTTGCTGATGCCTCGCCGTCTCTTGCAGCAGCAGCAACCACGTTTCCCAGCGTATTTGTCATAGTTCTTCACCAACGTCTGGATGGCCCACTCCAGCTCCGACGGGTCCCCGCCCATGAAGTCACCGCCTTTCGCTCCCTTTGTCCCTGTGGGAAGAACAGAAAAGGGGGGGAGAGTGTCATAGATTGGCATGCCATCCCAGTTCAGGATCACGCTAGAAGCCTTTTGATTTGAATTAAAGTGCTCAGGCACATGCGTGAAGGGATGGGGGAGCGCTCGTGCCGGCGCTGACACACGCGTGTGTGCGCAAAGCAGCTGTGGGGAGGGGAGTGCGTGCGGGGGGGGAGATCTGTCTCCACGGCCCAGTCTGGTTAAGGCCACGGACCGTCACCGGGCCACAGACCAGGGGTTGACGACCCCTACTCTATAGGGTCCTTTCCAGCTCTTCAGTTCTAAGTTTTCATTCAGTCAAAAGTAATGCAGTTACTTTTGGGAAAAGGAGAATAGAGTGAAGTTACATTTTAAAAAGCAATTTAACAAGGAGGAAGCACTTTATTAGTGTAGTGAGGAACATCCGATTACTTCCACGTGGTATTTGATGTCATTTTTGGCAGGCCTTTAAAAAGTAATGTTTCAGGTTTTATTCTCTTTTCAAGACTAAGGGTTCCTCGAATAACAACAACGGGGTCAATAATACCAAAGTAGAGAGCAGCACAGGAAGCCGTGCAGGGAATTACTTGTTCTACACCGTAATGGGGAACAACAAAGCATTCCTTTTCAAACACTGGAACAACTAGGAACAAATTTCTTCTAAAAAGTAATTTCCAAGTTGTCTTTCCCACACGCTCACAGATCTATAAAGGTAAGGAAAGCCACCAGAGCGATGATACTAATTATGATGATGACTAAAACGCTGCTGTTATTCTGGGTTCTATAAATAGTTATTTTGGGTTCTATAAATGTTAGCTCATAGGCGACTGATTCCTCACAAAGTTGCTTATACAGTAATGTTCAAAGGTTATTTTTAGAAGACTAGGCGAATCCATTTGGTTAACCTGTTGATGCAAAAAAATGGTTAACGTTGATATGTTAACCATGGTGTGTGATTTCCAGGATCCGGGCAGAACAGATATTTTAGGCATGTCGTGACTATGAGTGAATGTGATTTCCTAAGAGTGGAACTTCCCTGAGAAATCTTAGCTATCACTTTTTTGCCTTTAATTTTTTTCCCAAGAGGCCACCATTCCCACTCTCCCCTGATGTGAAATCTACCATTTTGGGTATTATGGGATAGATATTGCCCCCAACTATTCCTTAAACCCTGTCTTTGTTTTTTTAATTTCTGTCCCTTCCTCCTTTTTGTGTATGTATTGCCCTCTAGTGGCTGCTGTTGACAATGCACCCTCTTTTTTTTAATTGTTTTTACTGTATTTTGAGGAAGGGCTCTTTCCACAATCGCCCTGTCCTTCTTTCTCCTGCCTCGCTGCCCCAGGTCATCAAAACTGCCACTCTAGCAAAGCCATGCAATTAACAGTAATTATCCGTTTGGAATGCACTCTCCGCCTAGGTCTAACGAGGCATGGGTTGGGAGGGAAACTGCCTAACTCGTTGTAGGGCATTTTTTTGGTATAACTTGTGGGAGAAGAGGTGGAGCACTGCCAAGGCTGTAATTACCGCCTGCCTCTTTTCCTGCTACACAACGTGCGATAGCAGCCCGGGCTGCTCGTATTGCTTTTAAATCTTCCTTTTTCCTTAGCGTCCATTCCACCCCGTCCTGCTGATCCGGGACTGGGCGTGGAAGCCATCTGGATGCCTGGGAAACTGGAGCAAAGAGATGGGGCCTCTGCTGAAACAAAACGGTGAAAGTCACCTTAAGCAGGCGGAATTATCATTGGCAAGACTGGGAGGTGTCCTCAGATCCAGAGACTGCTAGCTGGAACATTTCTGTAAAATGGTGCCTCACTTGACGATGTTAATTCGTTCCAGTGAAATCGCTGTAGAGCGAAAACATCGTCAAGCAAAACGGAAAAACCCATTGAAACACACTGAAAACAATGCGTTCCAATGGGCTGAATACCACTTGCTCATCCAGTGAAGATCCTCCATACGACAGCCATTTTTGGTGCCTGTAAAGCGAGGAATCCATCCTAGTAAACAGCAGAGGGCCATTTTGAGCAGCTGGTGGCCAGTTTGAAACCCGACGATCAGCTGTTTCGTAAAGCGAAAATCGTAAAGCAGGGAACCGATCATCGCTAAGCAAAATTCCCCCATTTAAACCATCGTTTTGCGATCGCAAAAGCGATCACAAAAACATCAACATAATGCAGATTCGTCATAGAGCGGGGTAATCGTTCAGTGGGGCACGATTGTATTTACTTATTGGTTGGTTGGTGTGGTGTACAATGGCTGGGTTAAGTTCAGTCTTTCCTAATTTATTTCAAAATAAGCGAAAGAATTCAGAAATCACCACGGTCTTGCAAAAGATTTACACGGCATTAATTTCACCGTTCCCCCCCACCTCACCTCAAGGCAGAGGTGGTGTCCTTTCTGATTGGGTTGGACTCCATTGTCCAGTGGGTGGGGATGATGGGAAGAAAATCATCATCATCCTCTCCATTTCTTGGATATCTTTGTCCGGGAAAGAAGACTCTGAGAGCTAGAGTCTAACATTTTCTGAAATCATTATCATCATCATCTAGAGTCTGGACTTGATGATCTAGAGAGGTGATCTAGATTCTAGATCACCTCTCTAGAACATCGAGTCCAGCCATTGTCAAGGAAGCCCAGTGGGGAATCGAACCCCGAACCTTTGGCTCCACAAAACCCCTGATCCGCCTAGCATTTCCTGCTGGCTGGAGGATTATGGGTATTGTAGTTCAGCAGCAGGGACTTGCGTACGCTTGGATTGGAGCAGAGCCATGTATGAAATCCACAGTTTAAACTATATATATCAAAGCATTCAGAATAAGGAAATCCGTGATATTTCACTCCATTTGTGTGCCTTAAAAATTAATCCACACGGTCTATAAATCTAATTGTTCGAGCAACAGGAGTAATTAAATCCTGCTGCATCCAGTCTTCCAACCGTGGTGAGCTGGGTTGACTCCATGAAGCCAGCAAGTCAGCTGTGGGAATGCGATGCTCTCTCTCCTTGACACACTTATTTTCCAAGGTACACTGCTGTAATGCGCTCTCTCCGTGACACACACTTATTTTCCAAGGTACACTGCTGTTGCATGGGGAGGTTCCATTTCTTGCTTGTCTGGCGCTAGGCGGTTCTTACGGCTTGCATAGAATCCTTGTCGTCATCATCTTAGAACTGCAAAGCTAGAAGGGACCCTATAGATCATCAGGTCATCACAAGAAGGTTCCCATATTAGGTTTTTCTGAATCTAACTTTTCCAATAGTAGAGTACGGGTGCTTTTGAAACTACAGAGGAAGGCATCCAGAAACAAGGAAATCGTCCTATTTTGGGGGGGATCAACCTACCGAGATCTTTTTTTTCCCCTCCATGAAAAAAAAAATTCCCTTAATTCTTACCCTCAAGGGTGGCCCAGGAGGAGGATCATCATCCCCAAGGAGATAGCTGAAT